ACCTCCAAACTTTTGCCACACACTCACACATTTTTCCTTTTAATCTAGTTTATTTTCTTTTTTAAAATTTATTTATTTTATGTGTATACGTGTATTGCCTGCATGTGGGTGAGTGCACCCGTGTCATGCAATGCCCATGGAGGTCAGAAGAGGCTGTCGGATCCCCTGGGACTGGAGTTACGGATAGTTGTTAGCTGCCATGTGGTTGCTGGGATTCAAACCTGGGTCTTCTGTAAGAACAGCCAGTGTTCTTAACCGCTGAGCCATCTCTCCAGCCCCTTATTTTATTTTTTTAGGACAGGGTCTCCCTGCAGCCACAGAATTCACTGTGTAGACCAGGCTGACCTCCATCTCACAAATATTCACCTACCTGTGCCTCCTGTGCACTAGGACTAGAGGTGTGCACCACCACACCTAGGCATGTCTTTAAAAAAATATTATTGGGGCTGGAGAGATGGCTCAGCAGTTAAGAGCACTGACTGCTCTCGCAGAGGACCCAGGTTCGAGTCCCAGCACCCACATGGCAACTACAAACAGTCCTTAACTCCAGCTCCAAGGGAATCTGAAGCCCTTTTCTGACCTCCACAGCATTGCACGACAAAGATGCACTTACATACATGCAGCAATACACTCATACACATAAATAAAATATTTAAAAAATATATTATTGCATTTATTGTGTGTGCCTGTGAGGGTGGTGCACATGCCACAGCACATGTGTGGAAGTCAGAGGGCAACTTTCAGGAAGCTGGTCTCTCTTTCTACCATGTGGGTTCCTGGAATTGAATTCATTTTGTCAGGCACCCTTACCAGCCTGTGAGAGGGAGAGAGTTGCCTGAAGACTGTTCCCACCCACTGTGTTCTGACAGCTGTGATCTTGGGACTGCTGAATCACTTTGCAGTCATTCCAGCTACCCTAGCCATTTTTCATTTTTTTCTCAATGAACTTGTTTATGACCATTGAGCCATGAAGTTATGGGCCAGTGATGTCATGGTACTTCCACCTGCAGAGTCCTGGGGGGGGTCTTTTAAAATGTCACTTGATACAAAACTCTTGGCACAAAAGATGTAGCTCAATGGTATAACATTTGCCTAGAATCCCCCAATGAGGGGCTGGGGGCATTGGCTCAGTGGTAGAGCACCTGCCTAGAACCCCCCAGTGAGAGGCTGGGAGCATGGGTCATCAGTAGACCCCACCCCCAAGGCTGTTTTGTAAATGAGTGCTGTCCTGTGTTTTGGAAACTTTGGTGGACGTTAGGGCTCTCTTTTTCTTCTCTTTCTTCTGAAGGAACCAGAGAGAAGGCAAGAGCCAACCATAGGAAGCTAGTGCTGGGTCAGCCTGGCACTTCTCCACCGACTGGCCTGAGACACCTGGGTGGGTAGCAAGGTGTTTAGTAATCTAAAGAAAATACACTGTTTAACTTCATAATCTGGCAATTTAAAAAAGAATTTAAAATATTTACTTATTTTGTGTGTGTTTGGGGGTTAGCACATATGTGCCGTATCCCCGTGTGTGGAGGTCAGAGGACAACTTGCAGGAGTTGTTTCTCTCCTTCTACCACATGGGTCCTAGGGATTGAACTCAGGTTGTCAGGCTTGGCTGCAAGCACCTTCACTCACTGAGACATCTCACCAGCCCTAAGCTGTAACTGTTGATGTTTAAACAACTCAGGCGTCAAGGGATGTAGGGAAATTCCCCCTTAGGTTGTTGGCAAAACTTTGCAAAACTAGGACAGCAATAGAAAATAGGACTGTGTGTTATTTCTGTCAAGAAATAAAAGAAAGAAAAAAGACATTCTCAGCCAAACGTGCACACCCCAGCACTCTTGAAGTTGAGGTAGGGGGTTTGTGAGGTCAAGGCCAGCCTGAGCTAATATAGCGAGACCCTAGCTCAAAATACCAAAAAAGGGTTGGTGATATAGCCGGTAACCCCATGATAGAGTGCCTGCCTGGCAGGTGTGGAGTCCTCTGGGTCAAACCCCACAGCAACACACACACACGCACAGACACACGCACACACATACACACACACACACACACACACACACACACACACACACACGAACGCACTCACTAGGGGTGGTGGTGGTTAGAGCTCATCTATCTGAGAATCTACTGGAAAGCCTGCTGGGATGGTGCATTTATTTTGGTGTACAAAGATCTCCATTTTCACTTCTTTGTGAAATGGCAAAACTAACTACTCCAGCTGGCTTTTGCATTACTCTGTTTTTTTTTTATATTTTATTTATTATTATTATTATTTTTTTTTTTTTGGTCTTTTTGAGACAGGGTCTCCCTGTAGCCCCAGCTGTCCTGGAACTCACTATGTAGACCAGGCTGGCCTTGAACTCACAGAGATCCGCCTGCCTCTGCCTCCCAAGTGCTGGGATTAAAGGTGTGCGCCACCACGCCCAGCTTTATTTATTATTGTTATTTTATGTGTATGCGTGTATTGCCTGTGTGCCATGCAATGCCTGCAGAGGACAGAAGAGGCTGTCAGATCCCCTGGAACTGGAGTTTCAGACAGTTGTTAGCTGCCATGTGGGTGCTGGGATTCGAACCTGGGTCTTCTGCAAGAACAACCAGAGTTCTTAACCACTGAGCCATCACTCCAGCCCTACCCTGTGTTTTTGCCCAGCCATTCCCACTGCAGCCAGCCAGGCAGAACATCCTATGCAGGCAATTTCAGGGAGTACATTGTTTCTATACTACTGGGGAACTTACAAATAGCCAGGTAGCATGTTCTCCCACCCAGCCTAACCGAAACTTTTTGTTAACTGAAAACTTTTGTTGACTGACCTGCCCCTGGTCTGGTATAACTATGGTGATGTGATCTATGTAACTATGGTTATTGGCTTTGCCCCTGGCATGATGTAATTGTGGTTTTAAGCTTTATAAACCCTGCTCTGCTTCTCTTTGGGGGCAAGAGTTCTTTTAGGCATTAGACCCCTCTCTGACCACCAGCTATTAATAAAGTACTCCTAATTCGACCATCACCATGTGGCATTCCTCTATGCATCTCGTTTAGTATTACGTTTGTGTATGTTTGGTTTGTTTGGTCTGGTTTTTTTCTCTGTTTGTTTTGAGACAGGGTCTCACTATGTAGCCCTTACTGGTCTGGAACTTGCTATGTAGACCAGGCTGACTTTGAACTCACAGAGATATGCCTGCGTCTGCCTCCCAAGTGCTGGGATTAAAGGTGTGCACCACTTTGCTGGCTAGTTTTGTGTTTTTCAGGCTAAATTTCACGTAGTCTTGGCTGGCCTCAAGCTGGTTGTGTATCGGAGGGTGACCTTGCACTCCTGATCCTGCCTTCATCTCACACGTACTGCCCTTGAAATCATAGCTATTCTGCCTCAGCCTCCTGGGTGCTGAGATTACTGGTGTGTGCTGCCAAGCTTGGCCTTTCCTGTTTTCCATTCAGTCTTTGTAGACTGCAGAGGAACATTGGCGCCACTCTGTGGCCTCGATGGGAACTACTTCATCCTCTGCAGAAGTCAAGCAAGAGGGCTCCAGGATGAACCAGGTCTGTGGTCTCATTTCTAGCTGCTCTGTGGGCCCTGAGGATTCGTTCACTTCTTTTCTTAATTAATTAATTCTATTTTATGGGTAGGAATGTTATGCCTGCATGTCAGTACACCCATGTTCTGCAGTGCTCCAGATGAGAAGAGGGTGTCAGATCTCCTGGAACTGGAGTTACAGATGGTTGTTAGTCACTATGTGGGTGCTGGCATTTGAACCCGGGTCCTCTACAAGAGCAGTCAGTGCTCTTAACCTCTGAATGAAATTTCTCCAGCCCCTTTGTTCATTTTTTTAAAAAATTATCCATTTATTTTTATTTTATGTGTATGAGTGTATTGCCTACATGTATGTAAGTGTATCCAGGTCATGCAATACCTATTGAGGACAGAAGAGGGACTGGATCTGTGGAGTGTTAGTGATCATATGGGTAGCCATCATATAGGTGCTGGGATTTGAATCTGGGTCTTCTGAAAAACAGCCAGTGTTCTTAACTGCTGAGCCATCTCTCTTCGTTTACTTTCTTAAAAGAAATATCTATGACAATCATTTATTGAGAGAGAGAGGAGAGAGAGTGTTGGCAAGTGCCAGGGCATATGTATGCAGGTCAGAGGAGAATGCTCCAGAGTCAGTTTTTGTTTGATTCTCTCCTACTGTCTTGCATGCCCCAAGTATTGAAAGTAAAGTACCTTTACCTAGTGTGCCATCTCATCCCCGCCACCCCACTATTTAGACCAGGCTGGCCTCAAAATCACATAGATTCACCTACTTCTGTTTCCCCAGTACTGGGATTAAAGGCGTGTGCCACCACACCCAGTTCATTCATTTTAACTCAGCAAGCACCAGTGACCTATGGGAACCAGGAGTTGGACAGGCAGGCAGAGCAGGGGTGGGGATGAAGTTAAATGTCTCCCAATCCAGAGGCCCTGAGCCCCATCTAGCACAGTTTCAAAAGTAGGTGCCCAAAGGGGCTGGCTCCATGGACAGATGTTTCTAGGGTCCTGGAGCATATAGCCAGATATGACTTCTGTTTACACCTGGAGGGGTTTCCTGAGCACTAGGGGTGCAGCAGGATGGGGTCAGGCCTGGGATGAGGGATTCAAGAGACTGATCAAGTCCTTCCTGGAGCTGCAGCCTGATTCTAAATTAGTGTATGAATGGGTATGTTTCTCTGTGACCCTAAAAACATGGGAGGGGCAGCAATCAGGGTAGCTCTGGGACCTGTCCTAGAGCCAGGGTGAACACCATTCCAACCACAGATGAAGAGTCAAGTAATATTTATTCATCTAAAAAGAGCTTGGTCAGCTGGGCGTGGTAGTGCACGCCTTTAATCCCAGCACTCGGGAGGCAGAGGCAGGCAGATCTCTGTGAGTTGAAGGGCAGCCTGGTCTACATAGTGAGTTCCAGACAGCTGAGGCTATAGGGAGACCCTGTCTCAAAAAGACCAAAAAAAAAAAAAAAAAAAAAAAAGAGCTTGGTCAGACAGGGCCTGGAAGGATAGCCCAGTGGGGCGCGGGGCAGTGTGGCTGGATAAAGAAAGCAAACAACTCACTGAGGTGTCCCCACTGAGGAAACCGTGGTGGCTCTGCGACTTAAGGGCACACAGGTAAGGCTGTTACTGGTTTGGCCCCCGTAGCGCTATGGCCAGGAGTGCGCATACGCAGCCCTGCAGGCGCTCGACCGCAGTGCGTGCTCGCCCCCGTGTGGTATTAGCCACTACAGGCTTCACGCAGAAATGATCCTGGCGACCTTTTCCTGTGATGGTGTGTAGTGGGGTCCTAGGGAGCCCACTGTGGTGAGATAAAATGAAGTCTGGTCAATCTGAGGGCGTGACATCTCCCCAACACTAACAAGTCCCATCTAGATCTAAGATTCAAAGTCAGGGAGACTCCCCGAGTCACAACCACCTTTGCTTGAGGCCCCATATCTAACACCGTGCGTGGCATATAGCAGGTGCCGGAAAAATGATGTGACATACAGCAGATGCTCAATAAATGATGTGGAGTGAACGGATAAGTGCCTGAACCAACTGGACCGCCATTAATATCCATTTACTCTAACTAGCTTTCACACTGATGAGTCTCATCTCCAGAAAAAGCCAGGATCCAGGGACAAAGGTGGTGCCCCTGACAGCTACACCCCAGCCCTTGAGGCTGGACAGGACAGAGGGTGACCCGGCATCATATGCCCCATGATAGTCCCAGCACAACCTACTGCATTCAGCAGAGCAAGGCCACTATGTGTGCCACTATGCCCATGCCTTTGGTTTGATATTTTTGAGACAGTCTCACTATGCAGCTCAGACTAGCCTGCCTCAGCCTCCTAAGTGCTGAGATCACAGGCCTGTGCCACCACACCTAGCTCCTCTTGAGGACTCAAAGTTTCTCTGGTTAAGATCAGGGATGTCTACTCATCTGCCTCCAGCCTTCTTTGCAGGTCAAGCAGAACCCAGCCTGAACTTGACCAGATCCAAGTGCCCTTAAAAACAGATGCCTGGAGAGGGAAACAAACAGCCACACAGGTATGACCAGATGAGACGGAGGTGCCTGTGCAGGGGTGGGAGAGATGTGCTTGCTCCCTGCCCCCTCTCCAAGGTCCAAGCTTCGGAGATCAAGCTACGGGCTGAGACTGGGAAGGGAGTCCAGGCCGGGCTCGCAGCCCACAGGAAGTGTGGCAGCCTCACTGGGTGGGATGTGGTGGGTCATGTAGCGCTTCCCCATGAAGGAGCCAATCCGTAGCTGCTCAGGGGCTTCTTCTGGCCACCACAGACTGGAGCTGCAAAAGAAGGAGGACATACACTAAGAAGGAGGAGGAGGGGGGAGGGGGAGGGGGAGGGGGAGGAGGAGGAGAGGAAGGAGGAGAGGGAAGAGGAAGAGAAGGAGAGGGGAGGAGGTGGGAGAGAAGGAGGAAGAGGAGGGAGGGGCGGAGGGCGAGGGAAAAGAGGAGAGAAGGGAGAGGAGGAAGGAGCAAGGAGCTTGCTACACCTGGGTCTGGTGGAGGTTGCCATGTCACAGCTTATGCCCCTTCCCACCATACTCATCCTCAGCCTGTCAATACAACGTCCCCCCTTTCTATTTGGTATGTGCATGTGTGTGCACACTTGGGTGTGTATGCATGTGTGGGTATGGGTGTGATGCCAGGTGTCTTCTTCTTTCATTGTCCATCTCATCTTTTTAAAAATATTTATTATCTGATTGTATGAGGGACACATGCCATGGAGTATATGTGGAGGTCAGGATTACTTTCAGGAGCCAGTTCTCTCCTTCCACCATATGGAAAGTTTGAACTCAGATAGTCAGGCTTGGAGGCAAGCTCCTTTTCCCACTGAGCCATCTTGGCAACCACATCTTATCTTTTTTTGTTTTTGTTTTTGTGTTTGTGTTTTTAGACAGGGTCTCTCTGTAGCCCGAGCTGGCCTGGAACTTGCTATGTAGTCCAGGGTGGCCTAGATTTCACAGAGACCAGCCTGCATCTACCACTTGAGTGCTGGGATTAAAAGCATGTGCCACTATGCCTGGCCCCCAGCTTATTTTTTTGAGACAGGGTCTTTACCTAAACCCAGAGCTCACTGACTGACAGAGGCGCATGACCACATCTAGACTTTATGTGGGTGCTGGTGATCTGAACTCACTTTACCTACTAAGTTATCTCCCAGTCTCCCTTCCCTCTCTTTTGGAGCCATCTGACGAAGCACCTCCTCCAGAGAGCCACCCAGATTACCTTCCCCAACAGCAGTTCACAAAATACTCTAGGGACTCTGGCAGAGGGCACAGACCCCTCCCTGACCCCATCTTCAAGGGAGCCGATTAGTGCAAATTTTCCATGCACTGCCTGGAAGGGCACTTCCTAATTCAGAACTGCAACATTCACAGGAGTTTTCCAGGAGTCAGGGTCAGGGACAGGGAAGGAGTTCTGGGTAGAAAGGAGCCTATTTGGTGTCCCCACTCACAAGCGCACAGTGGAGGCTGCCAGGAAAGCCAGGAGGAGGAGGCCAGCCAGGGAAGACAGGATGGAAGTTATGATGATCATACAGCTGCTCCGTCGCCCGGGCCACGTGTCAATGGAGGTCGGGGACTTCCCTGCACACACAGGAGCTGTTCAGAGGCTGCCCCTCCACCCCAAGGTTGCCTGTCATATCTGTCCCTTCCCATTTAAGCTCAACAGACCTCAAGACTTGGCTACCTCATGGGCCCCAAGAGCTTCCTGAGCTAATCCATCTTGTCCAACTCCACCACTCTGTCTAGTCATTGCTCTAGGCTTTTCTACCCTGGACTTATTTTCTAGGATGTTCCCTCCAAATGTCTGCCACTACCTACCTACATGTGGCAGGCAGGGTGCCTGTAGATCTCAGGACTCACCTTGTCTCCACCCCAGAGCCTGGCATTCAAGACTATCAGATGACAAGGTCCCAACCCAACCATCTTGGGAGCCCATCTCCCAGACAACTACCACTCCCAACACTGGCCTTCGAGGATGATGCTCTGACCCTTCTCCCTGCACCCTGTAGAGAGCCTGGGGTTGATGGGGCTGGAGGCTGGGTACCCAAAGTCAGAAGAGGGGGCTGGAGAGATGGCTCGGCAGTTAAAAGCACTTAGTGTTCTTATAAAGGACCCAGGTTCCGTTCCCAGTATCCACATGGAGGCAAACAACTGTCAGTAACTCTAGTTCCAGGGGATCAGATGCCCTCTTTTGGCCTCTGCAGGCAATGCATATACATGGTACACTTATATACACATAGGGAAAACACTCATACACACAAAAATTAATAAATTGCTTTTTTTTGTCTTTTTGAGACAGGGTCTTCTTATAGCCCCAGCTGTCCTGGAACTCACTATGTAGACCAGGCTGGCTTCAAACTCACAAAGCTCCGCCTGCCTCTCCCTCCCAAGTGCTGGGATTAAAGGCGTGTGCCACCATGCCTGGCTAATAAATTGCTTTTTAAAAATAAAAAGAAGGCTGGAATGTACTTTAGTGGTAGAGCACCTGCCTAGAATCCCCCAGTGAGGGGCTGAGGGTGTGGCTCAGTGGTAGAGCACCTGCCTAGAATCCCCCAATGAGGGGCTGGGGGCATGGCTCAGTGGTAGAGCACCTGCCTAGAATCCCCCAATGAGGGTCTGGGGGCATGGCTCAGTGGTAGAGCACCTGCCTAGCATGCATAAGATCCTGAATTCAACATCTAGTACTGAAAAAAGAGTAGGGTTTAGTGTCCTTATGATGGAAATGATCCAGGTCCCATTCTACAGCATGAGGGTCAGGTAGGGGTTGAATCAGACTTAGACACTGCTTTGAAGCCCCTAGGCCTCATGGGAGCAGGGGAAGTAGCCAGCTGAGCATGTTCTCAGGTGACTGGGAAGAACATTTGGGGAAGACAGAAGCCAGAGATCCCCACCCCAGCACACCTTGGTAGAGATAGATGGGGTCCGACCACTTTGTCTCAGCCTTGGGTGTTCCACTGGCTTCCATCAGAAGGAACTTCACACTGGAGACAGAAGGCAACAGGGGAACAAGTAAGACACACAAGCCTCAAGCTGGGCATGGTGGCACAGGCCCACAACTGATGTAGGAGGATTGCAGGATCAAAGCCTACCTGTGCTACAAAGCGAGACCATGTCTCAAGAAGTAGAGGGGCTAAGAATGTAGCTCAGTGGCAGAGGACCTGTCTAGAATCCCCCAGTGAGGGAGGCTGGGGGCATGGTTCAGTGGTAGAGCCCCTGACTAGACTCCTTCAGCAAGGGGCTATGGATATGACTCAATGTAAAGCACCTGCCTAGAATGTTCAAAACTCTGGGCTCCATTCCAGTACACTGAAGTACTAGTCCTGAAAATTTGTGAGGCCACCCGTGGAAGGAGAGAGGCCTTAAATTGGGAGTCCTGGTATAGTGGCAGGGGGCCAGAGGCATAGTCAGGGTCTGCTGGGAGCCCTGGGAGCTTGCAAAGCAGAGAAGAGTGGGGAACCGGCATTATGTTATGTTTGCAGGGGTAGGAACTCTGGTAAGAGAGTAGGGTGGGCCCCCAGTGGGCTGGATACAGGGAAGGCAGCACTGGTGACTGATGGGAATGGGGCAGGGATGGTGCACCTTCCAGGGATGTGGAACTGACAGGGCGAATGAGGGAGCAGAGGGAAGCTGGATAAGGCAGAGGCTCTGTCCCTTCAAACTACACTGCAGTCTGGGCTTCCTTGTGCCCAAGGGCTCCACTGTCGCTGAGGTCATGCATCTGCTGCTTCTGATGTTACTCCCCAATGACACCCTTGCTTTCCCACCCCAGCGCAACAGGCCACTTGGCACTCTGGCTCAGTTTCTTCATCTGTATTAGGGGTGGGATCTGCTTATGGGCCAGACCAGTGACCTCCTCTAGAGACTCACTTTCCCTTCTTAGGACATCTGGAAAGGACTCCTTCTGTTTTGAGACACAGTCTAATGTGGCCCAAGTTTACCTTGAATTCAATATATAGCTGAGGTTGGTCTTAAACTCCTGATCCTCCAATCTCTATCTCCCAAGTGTTGGGAATGCAGGCATACATAACCATGCCTGGTTTATGCAGTGCTGGGAATTGAGCCAGAGTTCATGCATGCTAGTTGAATACTCTGTCAACTGAGCTACACCCCTAGGCCCCTGTTCATTTGCTTTGAGACAGGGTCTTATGTAGCCCAAGCTGGCCTCAAACTCACTATGCTAGCTGTGGCTAGCTTTGAACTCAGGATCCTCCTGCCTCTCCCAGAGTGCTGGGATTACAAGTCTGTGCTACCACAACCAGTTTTTTTGGAAGGTCTTTAAAAAATATTTTTTTATTTATTATTTTTATTTTATGTGTATGAGTGTATTGTCTGCGTAAGTGCACCCATGTCGTGCAATGCCTGTGGTCAGAAGAGGGTGTCATATCCCCTGGAACTGGAGTTATGGACGTTCGTTAGCCACTATGTGGGTACTGGGAATCAAACCCAGGTCCTCTGCAAGAGCAGTCAGTGCTCTTATCCACTGAGCCATCTCTCTAGTTCCTGAAAGATCTTTTTGACATCCCACCATACAAAGAAAGTAAACTGGAGTTATCAAAGGGAGCTAGGGCTGGCCAGCACCCAGAATGAGCAGGTCTGGAAGGGGCAGTGTCTGAACCCTGGTCTAAGAAGTCCCGTCTCCCTCCCTGAGGGCATCCAATCTCAGGGCAAGCAAAGGAGTGACCCACCTGTAAGGACCTGGGTGCGGGAGGGGTGCGTTGCAATAGGGCTGCTGGTGACAGCTGAAGTCATTGCCCACTCGAAGCACTGAGAGGCCTCCTGTTAGGTCCTCACAGGGCAACTGTTCCAGGGACAGGGGCAATGTCATATAGTAGCCATCAGTCAGAAGCTGTGGTGAGGCTGGGATCTTAGCAGGGGTCTGTGGGTTCTGGAAGTTTCTGGAGTCTGGAGGATACAGGGATAGACAGAGGTAAGAGAGGGAGCTGAGGCTGTAGCTCAATGTTAAATATAATAAAGAGGGCTGCTGATATGACCAGGCATGGTGGCGCACACCTTTAATCCCAGCACTCGGGTGGCAGAGGCAGGTGGATCTCTGTGAGCTCCAGGCCAGCCTGGTCTACATAGTAAGACCCTGTTTCAAAAAAATAATAAATAAATAAATAAATAAATAAATAAATAAAAAGAGGGCCAGTGACATGGCTTAGTAGGTAAAGGCACCTGCAACCAAGCCTGACAATTAGTTTGATCCCTGGAATCCACATGGTGGAAGGAGAAAACTGATGCCCACAAATTGTCCTCTGATCTACATATGAGCATTCCCCAATCCAAGATGCACAAAAAGTAAATGTTAAAAAAAAAAAAAAGGAATAAAGAGCCACAAACAGCTTCTTAATTCTTTGTCACCAGGAAGAGGGTCTGATTTCTTCATACTGTCAGGCTGCACTCCTAGAGTGACCAGTGACTTTAAAGGGTGGGCCTTACTAAACACTCAGTAGGCAGAGTACCTGCCTAACATTGTATAAAACAATACAAATTGAGTGTGATGGCATATACCTTTAGTCCTAGCACTCCAGAGGCAGAAGCAGGTGGATCTCTGTGAGTTCCTAAGCCAGCCTGGTCTACATACTGAATTCCAGGTTAGCCAGGGCTGTATCATGAGACCTTGTCTCAAAAAACAAAACAACACACACACACACACACACACACACACAAACGAAAATGAAAACAAACAAAAAAACCAAAAAGACCCAAACAACAAAAGGAGAGAAAGAGAAATAAATAAATAATAAAAAATACAAAAAGAGAGACAGATTCCATCTCAGCAGACTGGCTTGACCCACTCAGGGTTCAACTGGCCACAGCATCTAGCCCTGACTCCCAGCCAACCTTTCTATCAGAAATCAAAGAGTGACATCACCACCTTCTAAGAAGTCTCTCAGAACAAAATCCATGGGCCTCCAGGGACCCCCCCAGCTCCCCTCAGCCTTCCAAGACCCCAGGTGTGTACCACGCACCATTGCTGAAAGATACCACCAGCCAGATGGAATCGTTGGGTGAGGCATGCCCATCAAAGACACAGCGCGGTTGCTCCAGGGAGAACGTGGTGGCTGTGACCTTCCCTCCCAGGTCCCAGGCTGTTATCTGTGGTTTGTAGGGGATCAGCTCTGTGGCCATGGGAAGGGGGGGACAAAGGCAAGCAGGCATGAAGGTGCTGAGGGCTCCCACCACCCAATTCAGAGTGGGTTCCCTGTGCCCTAGGGCCTTGGGTTTGGCCAAGGGGAATTCTACTCACCTAGACTCAGGCTGAGTGGAAGGCATATCAACAGCAACAGCAGCCTAGGGTGAGGCTGCCTCCTGGTGAGCCCCAGGACAGCCATGGAGCACCTACCTGGAGTGCCCTCAGGCTCAACACCTCACCTCCAACACCTCTGGCCTAGAGTTTCTGATGACCAGGGCTGCCAGAAAAGCAAGAAAGACCTGAAAATGTAAATGCACTCCTCCCAGCCAGTCCAGCCCATCACTGGGAGGGGCTGGGTAGGCTCTAGTACCCCATGCCAAGGCCCTACGAAAGGACTCAAAGAGAGGTGCCATTTAGGATTGGCCTCTAGATGACCTCCCACCACCCCACCCCAAAGCTGATATCTGGATTCTGGGGCCACTTAACCTTCTGGTCCTGGGGAGGAGGGCCCCGCCCCTAGAAACCTGGGCCCAGAACCACATGCCTGAGATTCTTGCACTCTGGGTGCCAGGAGCCACCCTCTGGCCTTCCCCCACCTGCTCCCTCCAGCCCCACTATCCTCTGCATGCCCTGCACCCCATATGGCCATGTCTTTCCAGCCCCAAACTTCAGTTTCTTTCTGCAGGGGAAGGATTTGACTACAGAAAGTTCTAAAGAGGGTCAGGAGATGGCTCAGGGGGTAAAGGCACTTGCCACCAAGCTTGATTATTAGAGTTTGATATCCAGGACTCACACTGTGGAAGGTGAGAACTAACTGTCCTCTGACCTCTATGCACACTGTGGTGAGCACACGCACAAAATAATTAAGTAAATAAATAAATAGGACTTAAGAGACTTTGACAGCTAACAAACTCGACTTACCCTTGAATGTCATTCTTTTTTTTTTTTTTTTTTTGGTCTTTTTGAGACAGGGTCTCCCTGTAGCCCCAACCGACCTGGAACTTACTATGTAGACCAGGCTAGACTCAAACTCACATTCACTTTCCTCTGCCTCTGGAGAGGTTGGATTAAAGGCATGCACTACCACACCCAGCTGAGTGTCATTCTTATGTATTTTTTTATTATTATTGTTTTTTGTTTTGTTTTTTTCTTTTTTGAGACAGGGTCTCACTATACAGAACAGAATGGCTTCAAACTCACAGAGATTTGTGATTCGCCTGCCTCTGCCACACAAGTGCTGGGGTTAACAGTGTGTACTACCATGCCTGGCCCTTATTAATTAATTTTTAAAAGATTTATTTTGGGGGCTGGAGAGATGGCTCAGCTTAAAGAGCACTGGCTAAGGTTCAGTTCCCAGCACCCACATGGCAGCTAACAACCATCTGTAACTCCAGTTCCACAGGATCTGACACCCTCTTCTGGCCTCCACGGGCACCAGGCATGCATGTGGTACACTTACATACATGAAGGCAAAACACTCATAAGATAAAAAATAAAATCTTAAAAAAGTTTTGATTATTTTTGTTTTATGTGTATGAGTGTGTGTTTGCATGTTTACATGTGTACCATGAGCAGGAATGTGTGCCTGGTGTCTTAGAAAGCCAGAAGACAGAATCAGATCCCCTGGAGCTAGAGTTACTGGCAGCTCTCAGTTGCTTTTAGGATGCTGGGAACTGAACCCAGGGTCCTCTGCTAGAGCAGCAAGAGTTCTTAGCCACTGAGCCATCTCTCCAATCCTTTCATTTTTCTTTTTCTTTCTTTCTTTTTTTTTTTTTCTTTTTTGAGAGACCAGGGTCTCATGTAGTCCAGCCTGCCCTCAAACTATGTATTGGAGCGGGACCTTGAACTCCTTTTTTTTTTTCTTTTTGAGACAAGGTCTTCCTGTAGCCCCAGCTGGCCTTGGACTCACAGAGATCTGCCTGTCTCTGCCTCCCAAGTGCTGGGACTAAAGGCCTAAGCCACCACACCCAGCTGAACTTGAACTCTTGATGCTCCTGCCTCCACCTCCTGAGTGCTGGGATTACAAGTATATATACCACCATTTCTTTTTATGCAGTAATGGGGATGGAACCCAGGGCTTTGTACAGAGTACAAAACAGCTGAGCCATATCCCCAGCCTTCATTCTGTGTATAGTTTTTATCTGTAACTCATATATACTACCAAGTTCACAGCTTGTTAATTTTGTCTGTGGTTTTTTTTCCTTCTTCTTACATTTATTTATTATTTGTGGGGAAGTTTTCAGGGGAGGAGGTATGTGAATACCATGTTGCGCATGTGTAGGTAGAGGATAATTTGTGGGAGTCGGTTCTCTCCTTTGACCATGCAAGTTCTGGGAATCATATTCACATCATCAGGCTTTACCTACACTGAGCCATCTCCATTTCCCTGGCTCTTTTATTTTTTTTTAAGATGTATTTTATTTTCACGTGTATGTGTGTACGTGCACGCGTGTATGCCTGTCTGTGTCTGCGTCTGTGTCTGTATCTGTGTATGTGTCTGTGGGTGTACATGAATACTGGTGCTCATGGAAGCCAGGGGCATCCGATGCCCTAGAGCTGAAATTACAGGTGGTTGTGAGCCATCTGATGCGGGTGCTGAGAATCAAACTCAGGTCCTCTGGAAGAACAGTACGTGCTCTTAACCACTGAGCCATCATCTCTCCAGCCCAGTTGTTTTTGGTTTTTGAGACAGGGGCTTGCTAAGTCGTTCTGGCTGGCCTGGAACCTTGCTATATAGTCCAAGGTAGCCTTGAACTCCTGGTCTTTCTGCCTCATTCTCCCCAATTCTGAGATTGCATGTATGTCCCACCATGCCAGGCACGTATGTGCTTTCTTGTGTAGTGTTCGGGACAGTATACAGGACCTTGCATGTGTTAGGCAAACACTGTACTACTGAGCCATGCCCCAGATGAGTCATACCCCAGTCCCTCACTGGGGGATTCTAGGCAGGTATTCTACCACTGCTGAGCTATACCCTAGCTCAGTGGTTTTAAATATATTCATAAGGTTCAGCTAGGGATAGCTCAATGGGAGAGCCATTGCCTAGCATGCACATGGCCCTGAGTGTGGTCCCTTCACTGTCAAAACCCCCCCCAAAATTCGCGAAGTTATGTAACCATGATAACTAAGTCCACAACCCTTTCATCACCCCAAATGGGAAAACTGCCTTTGGAACAGTTACTCTCCAGTCCTCCCTACTTCCTCTCCATAGGTGGCTATCATGGAGATTTCCCAGCAACGACTTTGGCTGTTGTTTTGCAGTCCTGAGGACTAGACCAAGGACTTTGAACATACTAGGCAAACCCTTTACCACTAAGCTACACCTCCAGCCCACATTTTTTTCAGTGCTGCTGAGGCCTCACACTTGCTAGGCAAGCTCTCTACCACTGAGCAAAATCTTCAAACTCAAAGAATCCTCAAGGCACCCTCAAACAAGTTATCTTTAAAAAATTTTCTACTGAGGATTCAACCCAGGGGCCTCCTGTATGCTGGGCGAGTGTTCTACCACTGAGCTACAGCCCCAGCTCTCTCTTTTCATTTTTAATTTTGAGACAGGATCTCACTAAATTGTCCAGGCTGGCTAGAGCTCTAGTGACCAGCCTCTGCTACCAAGCCTGGCTTGTGCATGGCTTTTTTTTTTTTTTTAAGTACTTTAAAAAATTGTTTTTATTTTCCTGTGTATGAATGTTTTGCCTGCATGTATGTAAGTGTACTACATGTGTGCAGTGTCTGTGGAGGACAGAAGAGGGCATTGTAACTCCCTAAAACTGGAGTTACAGTTGGGTGTTAGCCACCATATGGGTGCTGGGAACTGAACCTGGATCCTCTGTAAGAGCAGTCAGTGCTTTTAACCAGAGCCATGTCTCCAGCCCTTTAAGTGCTTTTTTAAAAAAAATTTATTTTTGGTGGGGCTTGGTGGCGCACACCTTTAATCCCAGCACATGGGAGGCAGAGGCAGGCGGATCTCTTTTAAACTACTTTTCAGCCTGGTCTACATGAAGCAGGGTTTCCCTGTAGCCCCAGCTGTCCTGGAACTCACTATGTAGACCAGGCTGGCCTTGAACTCACAGAGATCACCTGCCTCTGCCTCCCAAGTGCGGGGACTACAGGCGTCCACCACCACTCCTGGCTCTTAACTACTTTTTAAAAAGATTTTTTTTGGGTTTGGAGAGATGGCTCAGCGGTTAAGAGCACTGACTGCTCTTGCAGAGGACCTGGGTTCGATTCCCAGCACCCATATGGCAGCTATGAACCGTCCTTAACTCCAGTTCTTGGGGAATCCGACAGCCTCTTCTGACCTCTGAGGGCATTGCACAACACGGGTGCACTTACCTACATGCGGGCAATACATGCATACACATAAAAATAATAAATAAAATATTTAAAAAAATTTTCAGGGCTGGAGAGATGGCTCAGTGCTTAAGAACACTGACTATGCCAGGTGTGGTGGTGCATGCCTTTAGTCCCAGCACTCGGGAGGCAGAGGCAGGCAGATATCTGAGAGTTCAAAGCCAGCTTGGTCTACATAGTGAGTTCCAGGACAGCTGGGGCTATAGGGAGACCCTGTCTCAAAAAGACCAAAAAACAAAAACAAAAACTCTGTTCTTGCAGAAGACCTGGGATTGAATCCCAGCACCCACATGGCAGCTAACAACTATCTGTAACTCCAGTTCCAGAGGATCTGACAGCCTCTTCTGTCCTCCACCAGCACTGCACAATACGGGTGCACTTACCTACATGCAGGGGATACATGCATACACATAAAAATAAATTAAAAACTTAAAAAAAGATTTCAGTGTTTTGTGATTTTGGTTTTTTGTTTTGTTTTGGTTTATATTTTTGAGACAGAATTTCCCTGTAGCCAGAGCTGATCTGGAACTTGCTATGTAGACCAGGGTGGTCTCTATCTCACAGATATCTGCCTGCCTCTGCCTCCCATGTGCTGAGATTAAAGGTGTGTGCCGCCATACCTGGCCTCATTTGTTTTTTAATGTGTATAAGTGTTTTGCCTGCATGTATGTGAGTACATTCATGTATGCAATGTCATAGAGGCCAGAAGAAGGCATTGGATCCCCAGGAACTGAAGTTACAGGCAGTTGTTAGTTACACTGTGGATGCTGGGAACCAAACCCTGGTCCTCAGCAGGAGCAACCTATGATCCCAAACACTGAGCCATCTCTCTAGCCCTTAACATTCAGTTTAAAAAAATGTTTTATAAGCCGGGTGTGGTGGCGCACACTTTTAATCCCAGCACTCGGGAGGCAGAAGCAGGCAGATCTCTGTGAGTTCAAGGCCAGCCTGGTCTGCATAGCAAATTCCAGGCCAAACTGGGGCTACAGGGAGACCCTGTCTCAAAAAGACAAAAAAAAAATTATGTTATGTGTATGAATGCATTGCCTACATGGTATCTAAGTGCAACTATGTTGCACAATGCCTGTGGAGGTCAGAAAGAGGATGTAGGACTTCTCTGGAACTGGATTTGCCATGTGGGTCCTGGGAACTGAACCCAGGTCCTGTGTAAGAGCAATCGGTGCTCTTAACCACTAAGTCATCTCTCCAGCCCCAAGATAATTTAAAATTTATGTGTATGTATGTGTGACTGTGTGTGTTTATGTACACCATGTGTGTCTAGGTGTCAGAGGCCGAAGGCATCAGATCCCTCAGACCTGGAGTTACAGGCATTTGTAAGCCACCTGATTATGGGTGCTGAGGACTAAGCTCAGGTCCTATGCAAGAGCAGTAAGTGCTCTTAACTTTACTTAACCTTAACCTGGTTGAACCAGCTTTCCAGCCCTTAAATAATTTTTTTATTGCATTTGTGTGTGCATGGGGTAGAGGTGCATCTGTGGGGGTCAGAGACCAACTTGCAGGAATCGGTTCTCTTCTTCCACCATGGGGAACTCAGGGATCAAATTCAGAATGCCATCCTTGGTGGCAAGAGCCCTTACCCACTGAGTCACCTGCTGGCCTCTTGGTTTATTTTTTCAAACAGGTCTATGTTCCCCAGGCTGGCCTTGAACTCAGGACCCTTCTGCCTTGGCCAGCTGTCTGGCTTCTTTATCTCAGCATCTTTGCAGGCTCACACACAGTGCTGCATGGAACACTGCTTCACCCTCTTCTAGGGCTAAGATTCCGTCAGGAGCAGATACCAGGCTCACTTCTCACAGGCTGCAGGGGATTTGGGGTTTCTGCTTTTCCTGTTAAGAACATTGCCACACATATTTGCATACAAATTTTTGCATGGGCATGTTCTTATAAATTACCCTTGGTAGATCCCAGGGTGTAGAACTCAAGTCATATGGTAACTCCCATTTTGAGGAACTGTTCCCCAAAGCAGTTGCATTTTGATTCCCAGCAGCACTAGGGGAAGGGCCAATTTCTCCAACCAGTATACACACATATATGAAACTTTTTGTTTTTGAGACAGGGTCTCGAACTCACTGTGTAGACCAGGCTGCCCTCAACCTCACAGAAATCCGCCTGCCTCTGTCTTCCGAGTGCTGGGATTAAAGGCATATACTACCACATCCAGCTGTATTTATGACTTTTATTTATTTTGTACATTTTCCTTGCATGTATGTAAGTACATCACATGCATGCAGTGCTCATAGAGGCCAGAGGCCAGTAGAGGTACTGGATCCCCACTGTTACAGATGGTTATGAGATGCCATGTGTGTGTGCGGGTAACTGAACCCAGGTCCTCTGCAAGAGCAGCCAGTGTTCTTAACTGCTGAGCCATCTCTCCAGCCCCTATTTAAGATTTTTTTTTAGAGATATGTATTTTTGAGACAGGGTCTCCCTGTAGCCCCAGTTAGCCTGGAACTCACTATGTAGATGGACCAGGCTGGCCTTGAACTTACAGAGATCCTCCTGCCTCTGCCTCCCAAGTGCTGGGATTAAGGGTGTGTGCCACCATACCCGGCTAATTTTTTAAAGATTTTTTTAAATTAAAGTTTTAAAATTTAAATGAATGTTTTGACTGCTTCATTATGTAAATGCACCATGTGCATGCAATGCCCAGGGAGGCCAGAAAAGGGCATCAGACCCCCCTGGAAATGGAGTTACAGATAGTTGTGAGCTGCCATGTTGGTGCTGGGAACCAGACCTAGGTCCACTACAAGAGCAGCCAGTGCTCTTCATCACTGAGCCATCTATCCAATTCTGAATTTTTTTGAGACAGGGTCTTGTTCTGTAGCCTTGAGTTCATGGTGACCTTCATCTACCCCAATGCCTGACATGCATTATGCATCTGTTGGTTTTGAACTGTGCTTGTAACACTGGGTATCTTTTCAGGTACTTACTTTCAGGTACTTACTACTCTACCTTTGGACATGGTTTTGTTTTTTTGTTTTTTGGTTTTTTTTTTTTTTTTTTTTTTTTTTTTTGGGTCTGCTGCTCTTTGGAGTGCTGGGGATAAAACCCAAAGCTTCATGCATGCTAAGCAGGTCCTCTACCACTTAGCCACACCCCATCCCCAGCTCCTCACTGGGGGAATTCTAGACAGGTGCTCTACCACTGACCCACACCCCATGTCTCTCACCTGGAGTTATTCTAGGCAGATACTCTACCACTGAGCCATGCCCCAGCCATCACTGGGGGATTCTAGGCATGAGCTGTATTGCTAGGCCATTCCTGGAGAACCTCACTCATGGGTCCTAGGCAAGAGTTCTATCAGTAAGCCCTGCCCCAGCCCCTTGTCTTTAATCTGGGCTTTTTGCTACTATTGAGTTCCAACACAATATTCTTGATACTAGTCCCTCATCAGGTATGAGATCTGCAGTTTTTTCTCCCTGATTCTTGGTGTCCTTTAAGAGTGAAGCACTATGATTCCAAGAGAGCCCAGAGGGTGGCAGCATTTAGGGACACTGCTGTGCTGAGGCAGTGTATGGATTGGACTGAGTTGCAAATGTGGAACCACAGGTTTGGGATGTAGTCACACCGGGATCTCTGCCAAGGACTCAATTAACACCTTTCCCCAGGGCTAACTAACTTACCCATGTGAGTCCTGGGCACATAATATTTCTCATGACCCATAATTTTTTTTTTTAATCAGAAGAGGAACAGGAGGTGGAATGTAAGAATGTAAGGCAGAGGAGAGAGAAAAGTGCTATGAAATAGTCTTCTGAACATGCCAGAGCTACTGCACTCATGAACAAAGAGCAGATGTGGTTACTTGCACAAGATGGGGCCTGTCAACATTCCATCCTGGATAGGGCAGGGGAGGATAAGGCCCCACCCCTACCTGGGGAGTTAATGGGCAGTTAAGTGTTGCTGAGAGGGAGAGATTTTCTTCCGTATAGCCAGTGGTAAGCTGCACATGCTCTTCACACATGTTGCTGCAAGCAAACCTCAATGGCACTCAGTAGGTCACAAAATACAAGGGGTTGGAGAGATGGCTAAGCAGTTATGAGCAGGGTACCAGAATTCAGTTCACACCACCCATACTGGGTAGCTCACAACCACCTATAACTCTGTCTCCCTCTTCTGGGCTCCACAGACCCTACACTCAAGTGTAAAGATACAAACACAAAGATACACAATTAAAAATGAAATAAAGGCAAGGCGTGGTGGCACACACCTTTAATCCCAGCACTTGGGAGACAGAGGCAGGTGGATCTTTTTGAAATCAAGGCCAGCTAGTCTACATAGGTAGTTCCAGTACAGCTGGGGCTCCATAGTGAGACCATGTCTTAATAATAATAAATACATCTTGAAAAAGATTCATAAAATGAGAGGGAGTCTTGTTAGGAGGAGGAGTTCAGGAGTGAAGAGGGGATGAGAGAGGGCTTTGGGAGTAGAGATAAGCAATATACATTATAGTTCATCCTCTGTGGTGGTACACACTCATAATCCTAGCATTCTGGAGGTTGAAGCAGATGGACTATATGGTCTACACAGTGAAACCCTGTCTCAAAAAAAAAATAGGGCCTTATGGGAGACAGATGGCTGCATTAAGAGTGCTGGCTGCCCTTCCAGAAGACCCAGGTTCATTTCCCAGCTAGCAACCATCTGTAACTCCAGTTCCAGAGGATCCAATGCCCTCTTCTGGCCTCTGCAGGCATTGTACACGATTGCACTTACATGCAGGCTAAACACTCATACACACAAAATAAAAGTATAAATTAAAAACAAACAAGCAACTGCACAAGGCCTTAAAGACTCAGAGGGTCCCTGATCCAGTCACTTCACATTTGAAGTTTCTTTACCAGTGACATGGAGAGAAACATGGAGACAGGAGCCTCATCCTGTGTGAACAGTGACTGGTGAAGGAGACACAGGGTAACAAGTATCAAAGGCAGCTGTTTGGTGACAGGACCCACAGGGCTCAGGGGACTTCACACAGTGAGCAGTGCATGAATGCACAGGAAGCCTCAGGACTGGGTGCCACAACCCGTGTCCTCACTTCCTAGGTGGAAGTTGAATAGGAATCATGCAGGATGACTTCCTGCTCTGCCACAGAAGACTGTGTGCCATTCTGGGGGTCAGATCCTGTCCCCCTCTTGCATGTGTGCATAAATATGCACGTGTGCACACGCATACACAGAACTCTCCACAGACACATGTTGGCTTATAGGGTCTTTATTGCAAACAAAATTTGAGGTATGAGAAGCTGACCAGAAGCTGTGGGGGGGACAGTTCCTGCTCACCCCTTGCTGGGCCGTCCACCAGCCTGAGGCTGAAAGGGCCCTTCCTGTCCCTGCACTGAGGTAGCTCCAACTTAAGCCTCCACAGGTACAATGCTGAGGGCTGCCATTTCCCAGGCGTTACCCAGCCCAGAAGGGAGGGTGATAGGAGAGACAGGGAGAAGCCCCTACTTCTCAAGTGGTGCATCCTGCACCTCAAATATCCTAGCCTCTCAAAGAAGGCACCTTCCTGTCCGCCCACCTGGGGGTGGTTGGTGGTTCGCAGCCGCAGGCCTGATGCATCACTGCTGTTCCAGGCAGTCCTCAGTCACACCCTGGGCGGCCAGCTCAGCCAGCACATTCTGCAGGTAGTTGGGGTCAGGGTAGCCATGGCCTGTCAGGTTGCGGTCCATCTCTGTCTTGTGGTGGATCTCGTTCCATACTACCGTGTCTGTTTCACCTGTGGTGCTGGATGTGCCCACGGTGAAGATGAGTCGCCTCTTCCAGGCCACCTTCAGGAGTTCCAGGACCTGGGGTGGGGGTGGGGGGATGAGGGGCCTGTGAACAGTTGCTGGGGCTCTGCTTTGACACACTGCCCTTGGGTACTGAGATGGGCCCATCCAGTCCTAGGCACTGAACCCCATATGTGGGAACTCCTGCAACCTCACAGTAGCCTTGACCCAGCACTCTCCATCTTGGCTTTTGAGTTGGTTTTCCATTCATTCTGACTAGACCAGACACTTGCCTCTCTCCTGCATGAAGCAGCCTACCCTCATGGCCCCTACAAGTGGCTGCTTAAGTCCAGGCTTGGGGCTGAGCTAACAACTGTCCGTAATTCCAGTTCCAGAGGATCCGACAGCCTCTTCTGTCTTCCTCGGGCATTGCACGACATGGGTGCACTTACCTACATGCAGGCAATGCATGCATACACATAAAATAAAAATAATATTTTTTTTAAAAAAGAATTAAAAAAAAAAAAAGTCCAGCCAGGAATGGTGGCACACACCTTTAATTCCAGCACTCTGGCAGAGGCAGGTGGATCTCTGTGAGTTCAAGGCCAATCTGGTCTCCATAGTGAGTTCCAGGTCAGCTGGAGCTACAGGGAGACCCTGTCTCAATAAGAACCCCCCGCAAAAAAAAAAAAGAGTCCATCTACCCAACAGCCATCAGAGCTTTTTTGGTGTCTTATTGTTTTTATTTATTATTTTACATGTATGAGTGTTTTGCCTACATGTATGGAAGTGTACCATGTATGTACAATGCTCACAGAGGTCAGAAGAGGGTGTAAGATCCCATGGAACTGGAGTTACAAAAGGTTGTTAGCTGCTAGCCAACAGAGCTTCTCTAAAGGGAGTAAGCCATTTGGCCTCACGTGGCAAGCCTGGGGCTCCCTTACCCTCAAGTTTCATCCCCCCACTCTTCTCCAGGACCATCTCCAAACCCCACACCAGATGTTCCATGGGGCTGGAGCTTCTTCTTGGCCTCTAAACTTTTGTTGAGGTTCCAGGCAGGCTGGGCTGGTCGACTGTGTGGGGTCCCTAGTCCCTCCTAGGGTAGCTTGCCATCCTGACCCTCAAAAGTGGAGCATGAAGCCCAGTCTGTCTCCCTCTCTAGAGTCAGGCCACGTGTCCCTCAACACACAGAGTCCTTAAAGAGGACAGGCAAACTAGTGGGCAAGGGGCCTTTACCTTGCGGCCTTGGGCGTTATCTGGCAGATAGCAGTGACGGGGAAAGCCGCGGGCTGTGAATGGCTTCCCAGGACTAGGGTGCTCTGGTCCCTGTGAGAACAGACAACTCAATGGCAAAGCTGGGATTATAGCAGCTGATTTTTCAAATCTCAGCCACAGAGGCACAGAAGATGTGGTTGGTTTTAACTGTCACCTCAATACAATCTAGAAAGTAAGTCTTAATGAGGGGCTATCTAGATTAGGTTGGTCTATGGGCATTTCTTGGGGGCACTGTCTTGATTACAGCAACTGAAATGAGACAATCTGCCCACTGTGGTGGCACCATTCCCTAGGCAGAGGATCCTGGGGCTGTGTGAGAGAAAGTGAGCTGAGAGTCAGGCGCATGCCTTTGATCCCAGCACTCAGGAGGCAGAGGCAGGAGGATCTCCATGAGATTGAGGCCAGCCTGGTTAGTCTACATAGAGAGATCCAGGCCAGCTGGGGCTACAGTGAGCTGGGCACTAGTGTGCATGCACCTGCTTTCTACTCTTGATTAGATGGAATGTGGTCAGCAGCTCCAACCTCCTGCCACTTTGACTCACCCACAATGATAGCCAAACTGTAACCCAGAATTGTGAACCAAATAAACCTTTTTTCCCCTAAATTGCTCTTGTCAAGGGATTTTATCACCGCAATAAGGAAACAGTAAAACTAAGGCAGGAAACCAGAACAAAAGCTTGGGACTCAACCAGACAAGTGGATTCCAGCCTGTACCCATGTGCCCCAGGCTCCAAGATCAACCCAGCTCAAAGGAGGTCAGTAGGTCAATACTCAAGGGGCCGGACTCCTGCCCAACTCTTTACTGGGATCCTGAGGTCTGGGCCTCTGACACTGAGCCTTAGCACTGGGACCTTTGGGAACAAGTGTTCTGCCTCACCCACCACTTATGAAGTATACTGGACAGACCTGTTTTCCAGGCCCTCAGCATGGTACTCCTCCTGCTTCTAAACCTGGTCTTCAGCCCAACCCAAATCAGCTAAAATGCCCCCTCTTCTGGATCACCTCCCTCTTTCTTGTAGTACCCAAACCCTCAGCATCCCTCCTGCCAAGCCCCCCTTCCTGCCTGCAGCATGGACACCCTGACCCCTATTGCAGGGCATAGGCACTACGAGAGTGGTGGGCAGGAGTGGCTGATTTTGGTCAGGGTCCCTGTGGCCTCTCATGACTGCCCCCTCACCTGGATGCCGTGAGGGATGTTGTAAACAATGAGTATTGTCCCACAGTCCTCGTGGCCTGGGAGGGACACGTGGAACCTGAACACCTCCATCTTCCCCTGTGGCTGCGTCCCAGTCTTCTCCCCATAGATGGTTTTACAGGATGGACACTGTAGACTCCCATCCTGAGAGATCAGATATGACAAAATGAGCTGGCAGCACCGGATGGCTATCCCACATCTAGATGGCAGAAGAGTCAGCACAACTTGCCCCAGCCCCAAGGCAGCCTCTCCTCACAGAACCTGGATCCCAAGGGAAAGCTAAAATGTGTACCACAAACCTATGATTCTCATTCAACTAGTGAGATGTTGGGAGACTGGTTTGTGGTAGGAAAATGAGGTTCAACTCTCCACTTAGTCACCTTCACAAAGCACCCTGCAAGTGGATGGTCACAAGATGGACAGGGAGGCTGTAAAATCTGGCCTCAATGACTGCCATGTGACTTGGCTCTATTCCCCCTCCCAACTTCTGCCCATCCTGACTGAACTCCATTGAACAGCAGCTGGGGTCAGCTGCTGGGAGTCTGAGTGGAGCGGCATGGAGCCTGCACACAGGAGCTGGCTCTGTGGCTCCTCACAGGGGACCCTAGGCAGAGTGTGCTCTAAATTCATTTTAACTATTTTTAGTGGGTTAGTTACTAGTACATGCACACACGTGTGACAGAGGATAATTTTGTGGCTTCAGGTCTCTCCTTCCACCTCTACGTGGGCTCTGGAGATAAATAAAACTCAGGTTGCCTGGCTTGCACAGCAAGCTTCTCCACCAGCTGAGACATCTTGCTGGCTGCCTGAGGCAGGGTCTCATGTAGCTCATGCTGGTCTGGCACTCCTGATCTTGCATCAGTCTCCCAAGTGCTGGGAAAACAGGTGTGCACCGCCATGTCTGGTACCCGAGTCTTTCCATGCATACAGGGCTGAATATGCAGCACTGTCATGGAAGTAGTGAGGGGTAGGAGGGGACACAGCCCTGCTGCTCAGAGGAGCCTAGATCTCTCCCTGAGGCTAGTTGGAGAAGCTATGCACATAGCCCTGTGGAACAAATTCTTAAAGTTTCAGGTAGGCATCAGAGAGCCAGATAGGCCTTCAGAAAGGTCTCTAAGTCCTTGGCTCTTTTTCCAGTGCTGGGGGAACCAGAACCCAGGGCAAATGATCTACCACTGAACCATACTCCCAGCCCCTCAACTGGGGGAGAGTCTAGGCAGGTGCTCTACTACTAAGCTATACTGCTGATCCTTATCTGTCTAATCAAGAGTCTGTATTCCCACAGCCCAACAGCACCCTTCAGCTGCTGCTAGCTGAGGACCATGGACATCTTGGGTTGTTTCATTTTCTAGAGAGTCTTGTTATATATTTGGCTGGGCTAGAATTCATGCACCTACTGCCTCAGCTTTCTGAGAACTGAGATTACAGGTATATGACACCACACCCAGCTCAGGCTGCTTTTTGTCCAGCTAGACCACCTGCTCAGAGGCAGCAGGCCCAGGATAGGCTGTGGGGACAGTGGCACCTTGTTCCCGTTGCAGTACATGGCCAGCAGGCACAGCAGATGGAAGGTATGGCTGCACTTGGAGAGGTGGCCTACAGCCAGGGGCCCAAGGTTCTTGCTGTCAGTCACATCACAGTACCCGGAAGCTACAGACAGTTTCTCCATACAGATGATGCAGTCCTGTGAGGAAAGGCAAACAGCACACACTCACCATGACATACACTTAACAGTGGGCCATGGGGGGCCAGTTCTGGGAGAAAAGTCCTGGCTCTGCTGAGAGGAGGGAATGAGAGGCCATCAAAGTCAGCCCAGTGACCACTTGTTCCAGAAGACAGAACAAAGAGCCATCTCTGACCTATGTCTTTGAAGGGCTGATTGGAAAAGTACAGGCCATGAAGCAGAGAGAAAAAACAAATGGTTCTAACCAGGGTCAAGAGCCAGAGGGGAAGGGGGTGCCCTGGACAAGGCCACCACCGTGTTCCTCCACAGGAGGAACCAGGTAGCAACATTCAGCTCACAGACCTAAGAGGAAGCATTATGCTCAGAACCCCAGCTTGGCCCTGAGGCAGGAATGATGGGTCCTGAGAGCTCTGGCTACCTCATCTTGGTGATGCCCACCAACCATGAGAGGCTGGAGCCAACAGCACAGGTCCTAGAGCATGGAGCCTGCCCCAGCAACACCAGGGAAGCCCCCTACAGGCCCTGAGGCTGGGGTCCTCCTCCCAGAATACATACCTCATCGGGTGCCGTTTTCAGCTCCTCGGTATACTTTCTGATCACCTGCTCCGGCTCGGGCTTTGGTGCCCCTTCTGGAAGAGAATGTGATGTGAGCACTGGCCCAGGAGTGCAAGATGGAGAGAGAAATGCTGAGGAAGGAAGCAGGCAGGCAGAAGTCCCAGCTGTGAGGAGGAAACATTAGCAGGGCTGAGACAGGAAGGTTAGCTTGCAAGACAGGAGTGCCTCTGTTCAGGCACAGGACGCTTGCCACCCCACCCTGGCTACTCATTTGGAGGCAGAGGATCCACAACAGAGCAGCATGGCTGGACTCTCCCCAAACCCAGTCCCCACAAATGGGTCAAAGGACAGTTCTGAGAAACACCCCAGAAGGTTCTGGTGGCATCATCTGTTCAACTTTCAATACTCATATGGAAATCTCAGCGAGAGCAGTTCTGACTCTTGTCAGTACTGGGAGCCCATGGAGCACATGTACAATGAAGGCTGACATCACAACACACCATCCATCTTGGAATTGGAAGATCTTGGTCATAAGCCTACTGGGCTCTAAAGCCGACAGACCTTGGGAGTGGCTGGCTGTGTGGGCATGTGTAAGGCTGCGCATGTGTGAAGCTGTGGGGAGCCCTAACCAATGACTCGAACTCTCCAAGCAGCAAAGGAGTCTGTGCAGTGGAGGGACCAGAGTTATAGAGTTGCAGCCAAGCCAGTAAGAGGCAGAAAAGGGACCGGTGGGAACCAAGCAGACCTAAAGCAATCACCTAGCCAGGGGCTCCACTGTCTGGCCTCAGGTTACAGTGGGGACCCTATTCCAAACCCAAGTACACAACCCTCAGCCTATGGCTGGGAAAAAACATAATCTGAGGGTTTGCCCAGTGTGGCTGTGCACACCTTTAATCCCAGAGCTCAGGAGGCAGAGGAAGGCAGATCTAGTCTGCAGAGTTGGGTTCCAGGCCAGCTGGGGCTATAGGGAGGCCCTGTATCTGTAAAAAAGAAAATGTGAGGGTTTGACCATGAAACCCTGCAGTCCAAAAGAACAGATGACAGCCACATGGGGAGGAGGCTTAGTGTGGTAGAGCTGGAGTCAGGGACATGGGGTTTAATTCTAGCTTATGTGCCATTACCAAATCCTACCAACTCAGAGAGTCAAGAAGCGTTCACTGGTAGGAAGCGTCAGTGTTGCTTGGGGCATGGCAGGGACCAGCAAAGGGTGCCACATATATCTCATGTGTGCCCTACACTCAACAAACCCATGCACACACACAAACCTAACAACCCCCCAAACACCCCCTTCCCTGCACATCTGACTTCTAGAACTCACATTCTGGTCACTGGTAAGAAAGTTCGACAAAGACCACCAGTTCTGGGGGCGTCAGGTAGCTGGGACTTGCCACTAGATTAAGAAGGAGCCTTTCTTTCAGAAAAGCCCAGTTAGCTGTGTACAGTGGCACATGCCTGCAATCTCGGGTTGAGGCAGGGGGAAGACTTTAAGTTCTAGGACTTTGTCTCAAAAAATGGAAAAGAGCCGGGCGTGGTGGCACACACCTTTAATCCCAGCACTTGGGAGACAGAGGCTGGTGGATCTCTGTGAGTTCAAGGCCAGCCTGGTCTACATAGTGAGTTCCAGGACAGCTGGGGCTACAGGGAGAAACTGTCTCAAAAAAGACCAAACAAAACAAAACAAAAATGGAAAAGATAGGAAAGCCTTGTGGCCACAGGCCAGTCTTCAGGACACCTGGCACGGTACACCTCCCCCCACCTTCTTGTTTTTTGAGACAAGGGTCTCATTACGTAGCCCCAGCTGGCCTCAAACTTGCTACGTAGACTAGGCTGGCCTCAAACTCAAGAAATTCACCTGCTTCTACCTCCTGGGACTAATAGCGTGCTACTACGCCTTTCCTAGGACCCTCCTCTTCAAAGACTAACTACTGACCTATTTCTGCTGAGGTCCAGCTAAACATCTTGCTGTCCCCTTGCCCACACAACCTTCTAGAACTAAGGGAACGTCCATTAGCCACATTTCTCAAAGGGAACTGGCTGCATCAATCCCACGAGACTGATACCTGAACCCAAGAAGGCCAGAGGGGCTGTGTTCTTTCCAAACAACATAGGTGCACTAAGAGGCTGTTGGCCAGCCCTGCCAACAAATCGGTCTCCACAGAAACAGGAAAAAAAAAGGTGTAAGTAGGCTGGGTAGCTAGCTCAGTTGGTAGAGTGCTTACCAAGCATGCCCAAAGTCCTGGGTCCCCCCATCCCGAACACTGTATGAACTGGACATGGTGGCACATGCCTGTAACCTCAACACTTGGGAGGTGGAAGCAAAAAGATCAGGAGTTCAAGGTCAGTGAGGTTCCCAGCAAGGGACAGCCATGTCACACTCTAAGACCACATCAACATTGCAGTCATGTGTCCTCAGCAACAAGCCCCTGTCACCCAATGTTAGGACAGTGAGATGCAAGTAATCTCTGCTGGCAGATCAGGGCAGAGGGAACACAGAGATGGAGAAGGGCCACAAAGGGCAGAGAGGAGAGTCAAGGCAGCAAGACTTGGAGGGAGCTGAGCAGGGACTAGAGAGCGTGTATGAGCTGGAACTACCTTTCACGGACATTTTCCTCAGTCTCTTAACTGAACTGTGACCTTTAGAGGCCGGACGGGAGGCGGGAGGGCCGGTGGGCTGGGGTGCACGGCTAAGACACACAGGGAGTCCAATGGCTGACAGCACACTCGTCATGCCTGCACGGGTGGGAGATCAGACATGCAGAGGGACAAACGTTAGAAGGAGGGATTCCACACCAAATGTCCATGACCCTGCTAGGGGTAAAGTGTGGCACCAGGAACAGCCACTGAGACCAGGCAATCTCCCCCAGAACAGGGGAATCTGGTCACTAGAAGGCTGCCAATACCTCCCCAGGTCAGCAAGGCAGGGCTCCAGACTGGACACCAGACAGCCCTGACCCCCAAGTCCCCCTAGGAGCCTGTGCAAGCAGCTGCAGAGCCTGTGTCCAGAACATGCAGAGCAGATGAGGCTGGTGACTTTAGATCAGGAGCCTCCTGAGTGGCATCTCCCCATGCCAGGCACAGGACAGGGAAGAGACAGGGGTGTTGTAGGGTGTAGCCAAGCTGTGGTAACAGGGCAGTCCCTGGCAGGCTAGCTTCAAGAGCCTTGTCTTCCCTTGACCCTCCTGGAGTCTCTTGGCCCGTCTGTGCCCTCTCAGCTCGTGATCCCCTGGCCTCTTCTGGATGCTGTCTGCTAGCTATCCATGCCCCATCTGGCCTGTGTACTGTCAACTTGACAGGCTCAAATCACCTAGGAGACACCTCTGAGTGTTTCTGTAAGAGAGTTTCTAGATTGAGGGGGGAAGACCCACCCTGAACATGGGCAGTACCATCCTGTGGGCTGGGGTCCTAGACAGAATAAAAAGGAAAAAGTAAGCAGAGCACCACCTGCTCATCTCCCTCTGCTTCCTGACCGTGGATGCAATGTGAGCAGCTGCCTCACGTTCCTACTGCCATGCCCTCCTGCATGATGGACTGTGCCTTAAACTGTGAGGCAAAAGAAATCTTCCAAGTTGCTTTTGTCAGCTATTTTGTCACTGCAAAGAGAAAAGTCACTGATACACACAGCCTTAGTATCATTGCTGAGGTGAAATGGTGACCTGTGGGACTGCTCCCATGCTAAAGTCACCCAAGGGGCCATAGCCATGGCTTCCTGTGTCCACCGGGAAAGAATCCGCAATAGGCATGGGCGCTGGTACTGGACAGACTACTGTCCACACCTCAGGACCTCCTCATGTCTGGGGCCCACACTTTTCCCAGCTGGACAGTCCCATGATGCTGTCTCCTTTCACAGTCCCTGAGACCCTACACACCTCCTGGGACAGAATGTCTTCCTGCTGGAAGTCCTTGTTGCTGCCACATCGTCACTGCCCACACACCATCCACAGCACATGGAAACACAATCATGTCCTCTCGGCTCTTGCCTGGCTCCAAATCACCTCCTTCCAGGAAAGGGTGCCCTGGCTTCTCAGCCGACCTCAAGAGTGATTTTCTCAAGGTTTTCTGAATAGGGCTCAAACGCTGGTGCAGCCCTCCTGTGCCCCATTCCTCTCCAGGACAGACTAAGCCAGAGAGCCCACACCAGAGGTGATATAGAAGTGTACTGAGGGGCAGCCAGGACCACAGCTCTCAACCAGGAAAATGAGTCCTGTCAGGGACAGGGCAGAGGCCAATCACAGCCTAGACAGCACAGCTAAGGTAGGCTAAGGACAGTGTGATAGCCTCTCACCAGAGGTATCAAAGTGCACAGCAGGAGTTGACAGGGCTGGGCTGCCAGTATTTGTCACCATAAGGGCAATCCCACTACAAAGCTGTTCCTGAGCTCAAATGCAGTTCCCATGGGCAATGGAGGCCATGTGGCAGAATAATAGGAACAGGTGGCAGAAAGATGGGAGGGACAGATTAGCTTTCCTTCAGAGAACCCCAAGGCTTCGAATGGACCCTCTGATTGGACTGTGTCCCCTCACCCACCAGCACCTTCTTTGGATGTCAAGTTGACAGGTGGACTTGAAGGATCTAGAATTACTTAGGAGACAAATCTCCAGGCATATCTGAGAAGGAGTTTCCAGATTAGGTTAACTGAGGGGGAAACACCCACCTTAACTGTAGACAGCACCATTTCATAGGCTGGGGTCCTGGACTGAATAAAAAGAAAATGGAGGCTGGAAAGATGGCTTGGTGTTTAAGAGCACTGGCTGCTCTTGAGTTTGGTTCCCAGCACCCACGTGATGGTTAACAACTGTCTATAACTCCAGTTCCAGGGGATCCAACACCCTCTTCTGGCCTCCATGGGCACAGGTATGCATGTGGTACACTTACACACATCTAAGTGTATTTTATACACATAAAATAAAAATTTGAAAGCTACCAAAAAATGTTTTGTTTTTTTTTTTTTAAAAAAAAAAAAAGAAAGAAAGCGAGCTGAGCACCAATACTCATCTCTCTCTGCTTCCTGACAGCAGATGCAATGTGACCAGCTGCTTCACACTCCTGCCACCATGCCTACCCACCATGATGGACTGTGCCCTCAAACTGTGAGCCACATAAACCCTTCCTTCACTGAGTTGCTTGTTAAGTATTTGGTCACAGCAACAAGAAACACTGCAACACTTCAGTCAGACCTTCTGGGCAAGGGGAGCCAGCTAGTGTCTCCTCAGTAGGCAGGCTGTCCTTGAGCATCCTGTGGGGAAGGACCACGTCCTTTCTACCTCAGCTTCTTCACCCTCCTCCATTTTCCTCCTTAGCACTTTGCCATCTGGAACCCCTCAGGGATGTTTTAACCAACACTGTTCCCTCAGCACCAGTCCCACAGGGTAAGGATGCCATCTACCCATTGTCATCTCATCTGCTGGGCACATCTATGTCAGAAACACAGTGGGTATCTGCTGAGGAACAAAAACATTCCCTGAGCCACCACTGTTACCCCCCCAAGAGCCCAGCCTCAATACTCCTGCCTCATCTAACACAGAAGCACAGTTCCTCCAATTCAAGTCATAAACACCTAAATCTCAAGGCAGATGCCTAGAAAGTGGCCCCTAGTGAGGGGACATGGCTCAGCTGGTAGAGTCTGTGCCTCACCTACATGAAACTCTGACTTCTATCCCCAGCACTAAATAAACTGGACATGGTGGTACCCCAGTAATCCCAGCACTCAGAAGATAGAGGCAGGAGGATCAGGAGTTCAGGGCTATCCTCAGCTACATGCTGAGTTTGAGACTAGCCTAGGCTATATGAGATTGTATCTCCAACCAAAAAAAAAAAAAAAGAAAAAAGAAAAAAAAGACTGCACTTCAGTTTCCTCAATTATTTAATGATAAAACATAAATACTCAGGTGCCAAGCCCCTTGTCTCTGTTTGGGTGACAATACTACTTGAACAGCTGGACATCACAGGCTGACCCCTTCTCTACCTTGAACAACTTCTCCAGATTCCAAGTTGAGAGATTCTTCCTCCCCTACACCTTGCTGCCATGAACTTTACCAGGCTGTGAGGCCAGCTGCACATGACCTCCCAGGCTTGCACTGACTAACCACCCAGAACAGCTCCAGGACTCACTGCAAACACAAACTTGGTCACCTGATTCCTGAAATGAACTGAAATGACCATGAGTCACTGCACTGTTCTGTCTTTAAAAAAAAAAAAAAATATTTTTGATTATCTGTCCATGTGTGTATATGCATGTGTGACTTTAGGTGCCTATGGAGGCCAGAAAAGGGTATCGGACAGTCTGCAGCTGGAGTGGTTGTGAGCTGCCCAACATGGGTGCAGGAAACCAAACTCAGGTCCTATGCAAGAGCAGTAAGTGTTCTTAACCTGCGAGCCATCTCTCCAGGCTCGTTTTCTTTTTATATGCACATCCCACAAGTGACAAATGTCTTCAGTGACTCCCAATGAAGATGGCTTTATAAAGCACAAGCATGTGTGGCTACAGACTGATTCAAGGACTCCACAGATGCTTTTCATATCCTAAGTGGCCTCTCCCATGAGGGTAAAGGCACCCATTTCCCCTGAGATGGGTCTCCTGAGATACACAGCCACACTCTACTACCTCTGGACCATTCTCCCTATCTATACCACAGTCATCAACTGTGTCCAAGGCTCTTGCCATACCAAAGACATCAAAGCATCATCACAAAGAAGGGCTGAAGGTATAGCTCAGTGGTAGAAAAGCATATATAACATGAGGGAGGCCCCTGGGCTCCAACTCTAGCACAAGGGAGCACGTGTGTGTGTGTGTGTTTGTGTGTGCACGCATTTCAAAGCCAGACTGCATTCAGGAGGCCAAGGCAGGAGAATCAAGAGTTTGACACCAGGGTCTGAAGAGATGGCTTAGTGGTTTATTAAGAGCTGGTATTGCTCTACCATAGGACCCGAGTTTAGTTTCCAGGACCCATGCCAGGCAGCTTACAACCACCTGTAACTCCAGGGGATCCCAAACCTCTGGCCTCCACAGGTACCTACCTGCACTCATGTGCACATACCCACACATAGACATCATTAAAAAAATGTTCTTTAATTTAAAAAAAAAGCCAGGCATGGTGGTACACACCTTTAATCCCAGCACTGGGAGGCAGAGGTAGGTGATCACTGTAAGATGAGGCCAGCCTGGTCTACACAGTGAGAACCTGTCTCAAAATAATAATAATAATTAATAATTTAAAAACAAGGTGAGGGCTGGAGAGATGGTTCAGCAGTTAAGAGCACTGACTACTCTTGCAGAGAACTTGGGTTTGGTTCCTAGCACCCACATGGCAGCTAACAACCATCTGTAATTCCAGTTCCAGGGGCTCTGACACTCTCTTCTGGCCTCTGTGGGAGCTGCATGCACATAGTGTACTTTACATGCAAGCAAAATACCCATATAATTAAAATAAAATTTTAGCTAGGTGTGGTAGTGCATGCCTTCAACCCCAGCACTCACAAGGCAGAAGCAGATAGATCTCTGTGAGATGAGGCCAGCCTGATCTACATAGTGAGTTCCAGGTCAGCTGGGGCTACAGGGAGACCCTATCTCAAAACAAACATAACTAGAAACACAGTGGGTGGCTCTTGAAGAACAACTCCTGTTGCATCCATCCCCCCATGTACCCACAAACACAGAGAGAAAACAAACAAAAACACAAGACTTAACTGGAACCAAAGGCTCCATGAATCCCAAAGGCCCTATATAGAAATGTTCTAATTATAATTCAATTGGATGCAAACTCTAGAAACTTGACTCTCCAGAGGGCTGTAGAGGCCCTTAGGTTTACTCCCTGGGGGTATACCATCACCCTAAAGAGGCACTGCTCCCCCAAAGAGCATCCTTTGGGTTTCACTGAGGACCCAGAGGGTTAATCAGCCCCTACCCCGCCATGCCCTCCAAGCCAAGCCCTGATAGGGCTGTTCAGGGCACTTACCTGCCAGTGCCTGCTGGACCTTGCTAGGCTTTGACATCTGCACGGGCACATTGGTGGGAATACTTCCTGGGCTGCTGCTGGAGGAGGGGCCGCTGGGGAGGGAGGCACTTGGGGAGAAAAGAGAGCAGACTCAGTGGGCTATGCCAAGCTGAGCAAGATCAGTGGGCCTGGGAGGCTCCTTCCCAACTGTACTTTCCCAGCTGCCTCTGGGTGGAAGCCCTTGTGCTATTTTCTCAGGAAGTTCAGAAACTCTGAAGACAAGGGATTCACTAGGTTTCAAGCTCACTTTAAAAAAGAGGAAAGTCTGTTGGGGGTGATGGTACACGCCTTTAATCCCAGCTCTCAGGAGGCGGATAGGCCAGTCTGGTCTACATAGTGAGTTCCAGGACAGTTGAGGTTAGCTACAGAGAAACTCTGTCTCAAAAAAATCCTAAAATAAATAAATATAAAAGAGGACAGTCTGCATTTAAACACCTTGTTCCAATTAAAGTGAATCGTACTTTTATTTTAAAAAGGTATCTGGGCTGGTGATATGGCTCAGTGAGTAAAGGTATTTGCTCCCACGCCTGAAACCTGAGTTCAGTTCCAGAACCCATATAGTAGAAGGAAAGAACCAACTCCAAGAAGTTGTCCTGACTACTATACAAAGCTGTGGAATGTGCATTCCCATACACATACAGACAGACAATGCACACAAAACTTTTTTTTTTTTTCCATTTTTAAGGAGGGCTCTCAGCTGGGCATGGTGGTACACCCAGAACTCAGGAGGCAGAGGCAGGAGATTTGAGAGACGTTTGAGGCCAGCCTGGTCTATACAAGGAGTTTAGAGCTAGCCAGAGTTAAATATATGGAGTTCCAAGCTAGCATGGGCTACATAGCTAGACCCTGTCTCAAAAGAACACAAAAACAAAACCAAGCCCAACTTGCTCAAGATCACCCAGTAGTAAGTGATAAAGCAAGGGCTCATGGTCAAATACTCGGCCCCCAAATTATCTGTTTCATGCTGAGGGCTCTCAGGGTGCATGCACAGAGGAGACATCAGCAGACAAGTCACTTTAACAAGCATTGGAGACCAATTTCACCAGTAATGGAGAAGTATCAGGGACTCCTAGACACAATGCACCCAGGAAAACATGACACCAGTTTTGTGGGATTCCTACCAAAATGAAATCTCAAAATAACAGGAGCTGGAGAGAGATACCTCAACACTTACGAGCACTGGTTGCTTTGGCAGAGGACTAGATTTGGTTCCCAGCACCCATGTTGGGCAGCTCACAACCATCTGTAACTCCAGTTCCAGGGGAATACAATGCCCTCTTCTGGCCTCCAAGGGCATTTGACACACATGGTCCACTTTATACCTACACAGGCAAAACACTCATACACATAAAAGTAAAAATAGGCCAGGTGGTAGGTAGTCTCAGCACAGGGAGGAGGAGGCAGAGGCAGGTGGATCTCTCTGAGTGCAAGGCCAGCCAGGTCTACACAGTGAGTTCCAGGCCAGCTGAGGCTACAGGGAGACCCTGTCTCAAAAAGACCAAAAAAAGTAAAAATAAATGAACAAAATTTTTAAAAAGAGGGGCTGGGAGGGCTCTCGAGATGATTCAGTGGGTAAAGGCACCTGCTCCAGCCTAGCTTGACAACCTGAGCTTGAAACCAAATGGTGGAAGGAGAAAACCAATTCCTGCAAGTTGTCCTCTGACCTCCTATATGTACAAGTGCAGGTATACACACATAGACACAGATACAGACACACGCACACACACAATAAATAAATGTAAAAAGGGAGGGCTTGGGAGTGTAGCTCATAGCATCCTTGCCTAACATGAGTGAGGCCCTGGGTTCAATCCCTAGTCCTATAACAGCTCCAGGGGATCAAGAGATAGATAAATATATCAGACAGGAATGCATGCCATTTTGGTATGGGGCAAAGCTCTTCTTTGAGAACACTTGGCAAAGAAAGTCAGAGCTCTTGCCAGCTCTTCTTCCAGATCCTTCCATATATCCCAGCCCATTCTTGATGATGAAATGTGAAGATTATGGTCTCCACACTGGATCCCCTCCCGAGTCTTTGCTCCACAGGGCTCAACCTAAAACAGGGAAGACACTCAGGCAGAGGGTGGGCACTGCCTGGCTACCATGGCAGCTCACATTGTGGAAAGTGAGAACTCACTCTCACAAGTGGTTCTCTGACCTATACACGCATGAAGCACACACCAAACAAATATAATTAAAAAATAAATACACAAATAAAATTAAAACAGAAAATTCAGCCAGGTGTAGTGGCACATGCCTTTAACCCCAGCAACTCAGGGGAGGCAGAAACAGACAGATCTCTGTAAGTTCAAGGCCAGCCCGGTCTGCATAGAGAGTTCCAGGCCAGTTGGGGCTACAGGGAGACCTTGTCTCAAAAACACCAAAAAAATAAATAAAATAAAATCCAGGAACTGAACTATACAACTCCCTAATCTCAGGAGGGGACATGAAAACACAGACAAGGACTGGCCCTGGCTTACCGAAGGACAGACAGCAAGCAGGAACCGGGGCCGAGCCTGTCCATAGTTGTAATCACAGCCCCAGCCAGATTCCCAGGGCAGTAGGAGGGAGGGCTCTCCTTAGAGCAGCAGCACAGATGCTGCTGGGTATGACGGCTCACAACTGTAATCTCAGCATTCAAGAGGCTGAGGAGGACCCTGAGTTCAAGCCAAACTAAGCTACATACAAGCGGGCTAGGGCTATACAGCAAAGTCCTCTCTTAAAATCAAGTTAAGGTTTAGGGAGCTAGATGGCTCAGCGGGTAAAGTACCTGCTGCCAAGCCTAATGTCCCAAGTTCAAGCCTGACATGAGGGAAGGAGAGAACCAACTTGAACAAGTTGTCCTCTTACCTCTAGATGCATGCACACACCAAATAAATAAAAAGTAATAATAACCCTGGTGTGGTAGTGCACGCCTTTAATCCCAGCACTTGGAAGGCAAAAGCAGACAGATCTGATCAAAGCCTGCCTGGTCTACATAGTGAGTTCCAGGCCAGCAGGGGCTACAGGGATACTCTGTCTCAAAAACAACAAACACACACACACACACACACACACACACACACACAGAGTAATAATAAGGGCTGGAGAGATGGCACAGTGATTAAGAACATGTACCGTTCTCTCAGAAGACCTGAGTTTTCAATTCCCAGCTTACAACCACCTGTAATCTAGCTCTTGGGGGAATCCAATGCCTCTGGCTTATGGGCACATACCCACACACAGACACACACACATACACAGTTAAAAATAAAAATTAGGGCCAGGCATAGTGGGCACATGTCTTTAGTTGAAGCACTTGGGAGGCAGAGGCAGGAGAATATCTGAGTTCAAGGCCAGTCTGGTCTACATAGTAAGTTCTAGGCCAGGTGGGGCTACAGAGAGACCCTGTCTCAAAAAGACAAAAAATAAAGTAAAAATAAGGGGCTGGAGAGATGGCTTAGTGGTTAAGAGTGCTGGCTGTTCTTGCAGAAGACCCAGGTTCAGTTCTCAGCACCCACATGGTGGCTAAAACCATCAGTAACTCCAGTTCCAGGTGATCCAAAGCCCTCTTCTGGGCTCCACAGGCACTGTACATATATGGCACTTACATACACGCAGGCAAACACTCATAACATAAAATAAAAATAAAATTAAATAATTTTTAATTAAAAATAAAAAAATGTCTTAACCTTTAACATTGTACATACCATGTTCCCATGCTTCAGAACCCTATGATCAAGTTATAATAAACAAACATTGCAGGCTAGGGGTATAACTCGGTTGATAAAGTGCTTGCCTTACAAACACAAGGACCTGAGTCTGATGCCCAGAATACACAAAAAAAGTGGTGGTCTATGTTTTAAATCCCAGTGCTGGGGAAGTGGAGACTGGGGAGGTCCCTGTGGCTCACTAGCCAGCCAACCTAGAACTTAACTGGCAAATTTCAGGCCAGTGAGAAACCCCAACTCAAAACCAAGGTGAGGCTAGAGAAGATAGTTCCACGGTTAAGATCCCTTGCTGCTCAATCATGAGAAACTGAGTTCAGACCCAGCACCCACATCAGGTAGCTCACAACTACCTGTAACTCCAGCTCCAAGGGATGCAATGCCCTCTTCTAGCCTCAGTGAACACTCGCCCATATATGTGCACATACATTCACAAAGATACATATATATTTTTTTGAAAAGTTTAAGGGGAGCAGGGCTGGAGAGATGGCTCAGTGGTTAAGAGCTCATGCTGCTCTTCCAGAGGACCCTGGTTCAGTTCCCAGCACCCATGTCAGGCAGCTCACAATGGCATGTAACTCCAGCTCTAGGGCTCTGACAGCCTCTTCGAGCCCCTCAGATACATAAGCATGCCCACACACAATCACACACATAGATTAAAAATAAAAAAATTTTAATAAAAAAAAAAAACTAAAAAACTAAAAAAAAATAACCAAGTGGACAAATTCTGAGGTAGGACACTTGAGGTTGACCTCTGGCATCTGCATACATGTACATACATCCACACACACACATTGTGTACCTATATACACACAAACACAAAAATCACACACAAATACCAAACCCTATGTCTTAAGTAAGTTTACAGTTTGCTTTGAGCAAGCGTTCGTAGCTATTTGGGCTAGATGCAGCACAGCCTGTGGACCACAGGTTGGACACTCCTGGCAAGGTGGCAAAGCTGCCAGCCCTGATCACCACTTGACATCAAAACCCCAAGCAAGGTGTCACACCCTACATTACAGAAGACAGGGTGCGTGCATTGACACATTTTGGAAACTTCCACCCACCCTCTTTAGAACACTTGTTTTGCCACTTAAAGGGATAAAACTTCAGCTACCAGGAAATATACTTACACCCTGCAGCTCAGTTACAAATGACCCAGCTTTGTCTCCAATGACTGCATGCTCCCAGGGGGCACAGCCAGTTTTACGGAGATTGAGCAAGAAACAAAGAGAAACCACTTATGCTTTAAAAATAAAGCAAAAGAAAAGAGAGGGGCAGGGTATGGATTCCACAGAAGCCTGGGATGCTACCTGCTCAGTCGGTCAGCAGCTCACCAGCAGGCAGAGCAGTTCCTAGGTTCCCCCAACCCTGTGTGCTCTCTTCAGACAGGCCCTGCTGGCCCCACCACCTCCTCCCTCCCCAGAGCTAGGAAACTTTCACCTAATACTCTTAACCTTCTCCTGGCTGCAGATCTGTTACTGCAGCCTCCAGGGAGAACAAGATGCTGAATGTTTGCATTTCTCCTCCCAGGGCCAGTTGTGGGAAGAGATTTGGGGGGTGTCGGGGGTTGTTAGTGAGTGCTGTGGTTCTATAACCCATCACAGCAAGGTGATCAAGGAGGCTCACAGTATAAAATTAGATATGGAGGGCTGGCAACATGGCTCAGTGGTTGAAGGAGCTTGCAGCCAAGCCTGATGACCATGTTCAATTCCTAGGATGCACATGAAGTGGAGAACTGACACACACAGGTTGTCCTCTGACCTCCACATATACACACATGCATGCAGGCTTGCATACACACACACACACACACACACACACACACACACACACACACACACACATTTTTTTTTTAAAATGAGATATGGGAAAATCTTTTTGTCTTTTCAAAGCCTGGATAGGTCTCTACAAGTGAAAGGATACGCCTCCCACCTCCAGAAAACCCTGAGGAAATATAACATAGTGACTTCTGCCAGGATGTCTCAACCAACACAGCAGGCTGGCCTGGTTCCTCCTGGCTCTTGGCATATGGCAAGTAGCAACAGAACAACCTGCCCAGCAGCAGTAGGCTGGCCCAATGACGTCCTCCATCACTGGCCTGGCCTGCACCGAGTCTCTCAGCAGTGCCTGTAGGTCTACACATGGAGACTCGAATGGAAGCCCTGTACCAAGAGAAAGGAACCAGAACCCATTACATCTGACTCAATCCTGCATTCTCAGTTACAGCTCTGTTTAAAGTTTGCCTCAGCAGGGCATGGTGCCTCGTGCCTGTAATCTGAGCGCTCAGGAGGACCACAAGTTTGAGAATAGCTTATGCTGCATGTTACCTGGCTAGTGAGTTTTAGGCCAGGATGGACTACAGAGTGAGACTGCCTGGAAGAGGAAGGAGGAACAAGAGAGGGAGGAGTAGACAGGGAGGGAGAGAAAGAGGAGCAGGAGAGGAAGGAAAGGGGGAGAAAAGAGGATGGCATAGAATGAGATCTGCCTCAAAATAAATTGGTAACAATCTCAAGAAAGCTGAAACTGTATATCAATGCTCTGGGCTGGCCTTGGACTCCTGTTCCCTGAATGACTGGCCCACACAGTAAGAGTGAAAGGGAAGAGAAAGGGCTGCCTCTGGGAGCCAGTGTCCGTCCATGTGAAAGCCTGCAGAGCCAGTGACAGAATTGGCTGTCTAGACCTCCAATTCCCAGAGGAGATAGATCCACGAGTCCCAACTCCAACCTGGAAGATGCAGACCCAAGCAAGACCCTCTACCCTCCCTGTCTACCAGACCCCTCCTCATTCATTTCCCACAAGGGCTCCTCCCTTCCTCATTCCATAGTGAGGACAGTTTCAGCACCTCTTTATATTATGTGCCCCACATAGTTCACTGACATTTTTTGGTACGTGGGGAGAGGGGTGTTCCTGAGGATGGAATCCAGGGCGTTCTCCATGCAAGGTAGGCACTCTACCACTGAGCCATGCTCCTGGCCCCTCAGTGGGGGATTCTAGGCAGGTGTTCTACCACTGAGCCACACTCCCAGCCCCTCACTGGGGGAGTCTAGGCAGGCACTCTACCACTGAGTCACACCCCCAGCCCCTCACTGGGGGAGTCTAGGCAGGTACTCTACCACTGAGTCACACCCCCAGCCCCTCATTGGGGGAGTCTAGGAAGGGACTCATCAGTAAGCCACATCTCACAGGCCCTCATCCGAAGACTTTAGGAAAAAGTACCTGGTAATATGGGTTCTACGACCCCTAAGAGCATCACCACATATACACAAAAAGTTCCTGGCATGCATGTTCTTTACAGAAGCTAGTAGTATCCTCTAAAATCCACTTGAACAAACACTAGCTGCCCAAGAAGCTGCCTAGGCCTTTGATATTATGTGAAGCTTCATTCCTCAAGGTTGTGACATAAATGGGCAGGGATGGGGCTGAGTGACAAGGCGGCAAAAGATGAGGACTAGTTGTCAATCAAGACTAACAAGCTGTGTTCTTCCCTGGGGAGCAGAGCAGCAAGAGGCCCATGCATTCCATCTCCACTCTGCAGGTCCTTCTCCTTCAGAAACTAGCCCCCTTCTTCTCCCACATGGAATTCACTGCCCAACATGGACCAATAAGGACAATGGAGTTCCTATCAGCCTGCTGCCCAAGATAGGAGGTTCTATAAGAGCCCAAGTGAGGGTTGGGGATGCAGCTCAATGGCAATCACTTGCCTAGCAAGTGTGAGGCCCTGAATTCAACCTCCAGCAATGTAAAGTATGCACATGTACACACACACGCACGCGCTCTCTTCCCCCATTAAACTGAAAGCTACCTGCCTGGGCATGACGGTATACAGAAGGTGGAAGCAGGAGAATGGAGAATTCCAGGACAGCCTGGGCTACAAAGGGACCCTTTTTTCTCAAAATAAAAAAAAAACGGTTCCAGAGCTGGTGAGATGGACCAGCGGGTAAAAGTGCTTACTGCCAAGCCTGATGACCTGAATTTGATTTCCCAGGACCCACGTGGTAACAGAAAGAACCAACTCCTCCAAGTTGTCCTTTGATCTCCATATGCACTGTGGCATGCATACCTACTCACCCCCCCACACATAAATAATAAACAAAATGCAATGAAATAAAATCAATTTTGTTTTTGAGACAGGGTCTCCCTGTAGCCCCAACTGGTCTGGAACTCACTATGTATTCCAGACTAGCCTCCATTCTCACAGAGATCTGCCTGCCTCTGCCTCCCAAGTGCTTAAAGGTGTGAGTCACCATGCCCGGCTAAAATAAAAGCTTTTTAAATACCACTTGGGTTGGACAGGATGGCACATACCTATAATGCCAACACTGTGGGAAGCTGACACAAAAAGACGGTGGACTCCAGGCCAGTCTGAGCTACAGAGAGAGACCCTATCTTAGCAACAAGCAAAACAGGGCTGGGTTACAGGTCAGTGTGGAGCACTTGCCTAGCATATGCAAAGCCCTGGCTTCCATCTCCAGCACCACAAACAAAACAAAGCCCAGCACAGCACCTGGTTTGGATGGGCCTCCAATGTGGTCATCTTTCTCAGGAGCTATCGCCCACACTCTGTCTTTCCCTATCCTCACCCTGGAACCCTGGTCCTCCTCTGAACTAATCTGTGGGCTCAGGGTCAGAGGTAAACCATCTACCTCCACTTCTACAGTGCCCAGCACATGGCAGAAGACAAGGAGAATGCAGTTAGTTCACAATGTCTGCAGTCCGTGCATTCCAAAAGCCCAGGCAATAGATCTGTACTTCTGGGTACAGGGCTCCACAATCCTGCGAGAATAAGAGGACTACTGAGCTGGGGGTAAAGGCTATAATCCCACCATGGAAGGAAGTTTGCTCAAAGTTCAAGGACGGCCTGGGCTATGGAATGAGCCCCAGGTCAGCCTGGGCTACAGAATGAAACCCTGTTTCAAAAGGCAAAAACAAAACTTAAAAAAAAAAAAAGTTGGAGTTCTGGAATTCATGAAGCGCTGAGTTCTGTCCCTGGAACTATATAAAACTCAGTATTTGGGAGATGGAGACAGGAGGATCACCGAAAGTTCAAGGTTACCCTCAGCTATATGGGGAACTGAAGGACAGCCTGAGCTACATGGGACAGCCAAAAAAAAGAAAAAAAAAAAAAAAAAAAAAGATTGCTGATTTTAACCCAGGGCTACCAGGACTCAAGGATCAAAGGTTAGGGACCCAATGGGATACCACATCAGACAGAATCAAGGAGCACCTATGTGGCACTTGCAAGAGAAACTAGGGTACAGATGCAAAGCTGTAGGGAGGGCCTCCCATGGACGTGAGAATGCAAGTCCCAGCTACAAGATATCTGGCTTCAGAGCAGTTGGCGTCCCTATTCCCTATTGGCAATTTGGGTAACCCCTTCAGAGGATGGGATAAGAATAGGAGGTAGGAATTGGCTAGGCAGTTAGGGTAAAAAGACCCCAAAGAAATGTAGCCAGTTTCTTGGCTAAAAGTCAAAATGTCCTTGGGCCTTTAGCAACATACTCTGTTCCAAGGCCAAAAATGTCAAAAGTATTTGGGAGCTTGTATCTAATCCTTAAAAGATTTTAGGGTTACCTCTTCAGAGAGGGGAATGTTAAAAAATAAAAAAAAAAAAAAAATACCTGGCTCCACTGGAAGTGGATGGTCCTGAGGGCAGGAGCTGTGGTCCCAGGTGGGAGAGGCTGGTGCGGAAGATGAAGTGGTTGCCCAGGGCAGGAGGTGTTGTGCCCCAGGGGTTGGTGGTATTCAGCCTGGGCGCAGACCTGGCCCCAGACAGCGAGGGTTTATTGTATGGAGCAAAGGCCTGGTGGGCCCCAAAGACAATGGCTGTCCGGTGGGGCGTCTGGGGGGCAGGATACGCAGGCAGGTTGGTCATGGAGTGGCGGTAGCGGCCTGACACTGGGCCAGTTCCACTACCATGGAGGCACTGTTGGCAAGAACAGGCGATTCCTGTATGGCCTGGGGGAGCGATGACAGCAGTTGCCGGGTAAGCTGGCCCCACTTGGCGTCGCACACTCCGGCAGAAGCTGGAAGTCTTGTTGGTTTGTGTGTGGGTGGCATAGTTGACGGTGTAGTTATAGCCCAGGGGAGCCAAATCCACAAGCTGGGTACCCTGGGCCACTTGCTGCTCCAGATAGTCACAGACACTGGCTTCGTAGGCTGTCCAGGATCCATCATCACCTAGCCACTCCCAGACGATGCCCTTCCCTGGGGCAGAATTCTGGGCAAACAGGTGTCTGCGCACTGCCCGCATAGTGCCTGTGTAAATGAGTAGGGCATGTGAACAGGGATTCTGCTGGCAGGGTCCCTAGATCCTCCTGTCTCACTCTCCTGAGTGCTGACACTACAGGTGTGCACCACCACACCCACCTTTGTGTGGGTACATGTATGTATGTGTGTATGTGTCTATAGTATTCGCGTATGTATGTGTGTGTGCATGTGTCTGTGGTGTGTCCATACTGTCTGTGTATGTCTCCTATGTCTGTGAATGCCTGTTTGTACACATGCGTGTGTTTGTTGTTGCAGATGGACCCAAGGGGCCTCACATGTTCTAGGTATGTGCTCTACCACTGTTATACTCCCAGCCCCAGTTCTTTTCCCTGCTAATAACCAAACTAAGAAACAAACAATCACTGTCAGCAAAGGTCACACTGCTATTTGACCCTGGAGATGGCAGAGCCCATCCTTTTCAGATTTCACAGAAGGTTTCTGAAGCAAAGAAACTGGGCCTCCCAAAGAACCAAGTCACAGAGCAGGGGTTCACTCTCCATGGCAGGAGACACTGGAAGCTGGGGTCAGATACAGTCCACATTTCATTCATTCATTCCTTCCTTCCCTCCCTCCCTCTTCTCTCCCTCTTTCCTTCTTTCCCTCCTTTCCTCCCTCCCTCCCTCCTAAGACAGGTTGGCCTTAAATTCTTTTTAAAAAAATTTTATATCTATGAAAGCCAGGCGTGGTAGCACATGCCTTTAATCCTAGCACTTGGGAAGAAGGCAGTGGATCTCTATGAGCTCAAGGCCAGCCTGGTCTACATAGTGAGTTCCAGACCAGCTGGGGCTACAGGGAGACCCTGCCTCAAAAAGACCCCCCCCCAAAAAAATTATGTTTATGAGTGTTTTGCCTGCATGTATATAAATGTACCACATGCATGCAATGCCTGCAGAGGCCAGAAGGAGGAGTCAGATCCCTGGAACTAGAGTTATGGACAGTTGTTAGCCGCCATGAGGTGCTGGGAACTGAACCCAGATCCTCTGCAAGAGCAGTCAGTACTCTTAACTGATGAGTTCTCTCTCTAGTCCTTGCTTTAAACTCTTGGCAATCCTCCTGTCTCAACCTCCCAAATGCTGAAACTGCAGGTGAGCACAATCTGGAGCAGCAAGTGGCTGGCCTGGGAAACCTAGCTCACACACCTGGTCACCCTGGGCTACAGCTACATAGTTAACTAGTGTCCATGTACATATGTGTGTATGTGTCTGTAGTATTTGCATATGTATATGTGTGTGTCTGTGGTGTGTCCATAGTGTCCACACACAAACCAACAAGACTTAGGACTGCCAGACTCTCTCAACTACTATGGCATGCTAGGTCCATGTTAGGCAGCCTGCTGAAGACCCTCAAGTCCCTACAGGTAAACACAAGCACTTTTTGATTGGGAGACAAGGAAGAAGGGGCCAGGAGGGCCTCTGCACTCAGTTTCCAGTGCATATTCCACAACTACCAAGCCATTTTATGAGGTCCACTGCACCCAGGTGGTAGCTGGTTTCTTTTGAGACAAAGTCTTGTGTAGCCCAGGCTGCCAAGAACTGGCTATGTAGTGGAGGATGACCTTGAACTCTTGATCTTCCAGCATCTATGTATCTCCCCAGTGCTGGGATTATAGACATGTACTCCATGTCCAGTTTATATGGTTCTAGGGATGAAACCCAGGGCTTCATGTATGCTAGGCAAGCACTCTACCTACTGAGCTACATCCTCAGCTCTGGTAGCAGTTTATGTGTTTCAAAAGCTGGAAAGGAAGGGCTGTCCTTTACAACCATAACCCCAATGCCTAGCACAGAGACTAGCCTAAAGCCAGGTGCCCAGACTTGTACCAGAGGCAGAAGGTTCTTACCAGTGTCCTGGCGGAACTGGGTCCAGCTGGGGAGGTCAATGATGTAAGGGGCCAGAGAGGGGTCAGCCTGGCCTAGAGGAATGCTGTGGGCCAGGCTCCCTAGCCCGAAGCGCTGGCCCTTCTGCTGAATAAACTGCTGCTCAATGAAGGAACAGACAGTGGCGCTGTAGGGGTGCCAGGTGCCCAGCCCATCCTGCCATTCCCAGACTGCCACCACCATGGGGCTGGGGTACACCTGTGGCAGGGATGAGCTTGGGGCCATGGCCATCTTCCCCAGGACTCCCTCTGCTTTCCTGAAGACTTCACACCACTCTGGGCTGCAGGCTCAGGTTCATTGCCAAGTGCCTCCGGTGGACCTGGGACAAGAAACAGCAGTTACTCACACATGTCGGGGCCTTGTCAGACAGCTGAAGAAAAAAAGAATTCCAGTTTTCTATAATACCTTCAGGGTACCATGAATCAGAGAATTCAAAGTAATTCCTGCTGTCTCCCTCTCCTTCGGCAACATTCTAGAATATGCAATACAGTAAAAGTAGGGGGCTGATCACTACCTAGCTTCTGTCTTATAACCAGTGATCTCCTTCTGACCTGGTTACTTAGTTCAAATTTTCAAATTTAATTAACTTATCTTTTGAATGCTAAGGATGGAAACCAAAGGCTTTGAACATGCCACACATCCCAGCTTCTCTCTGGAAGTCTTGGCAAATACTCTACCACTGAGCTACACCCCTAGCTGCTCACTAGGGGATTCTAGGAAGGTGCTCTACCACTGAGCCACACCCCCAGCCCCTCACTGGGAGACACTAGGCAGATGCTCTACCACTGAGCCATACCCCTAGCTCCTCACTGGAGGATTCTAGGCAGGTGCTCTACTGCTGAGCTACACCCCAGCCCCTCACTGGAGAATTCTAGGCAGGTACTCTACAACTGAGTCAGACTCCCAGTCCTCAGCATATTTGTAAGTCACCCCAAATCTTTGTAGATAAGGCCATGATGACCGTGTATACTGTGTAAGGTGCCCATAGTTCCCAATTCAGGCCTTGTCTGTGAGATACACATTAACACCTGCTATACTACAGAGGAGGAAACACTGTGGCTCAGAAATCAAGGGTTCCAAGACACCCCTAGGGGCTGTGCTGAGGGGGGACTCAAAGCACAGGTTCTGGGACTGGGGAAATGGGTCAGGGGACAGAGCCCTTGCTGTACAAAAATAATGATCTGAGTTTGGATCCTCAGGATCATGTAAAAGCCAGCCATGACCACAGGTGACTGCAACCCTAGTGTTGTAGGACAGATTAGACAGGCCAATCACAGGAGCTCACTGCCTAGCCAAAATGGCAAGCTTCAGGTTCAGAGAGAGACCCTATCTGGAGGCAGGACAGAGAGCGATAGAGGAAAACACCTCAAGTCCTCCTCTGACCTCTGCATGCAGAAACACCCACACCAGTATGTACATGTACGTACACACACACACACACACACACACACACACACACACACACACACACAGAGAGAGAGAGAAAGCACAGGTTCTGTCTGCTACTGCAGACTGCCCAGGGACCATTATTGGCCACAAAGGAGCCTTAAGCACTAGAGTGCCCCTTGGGTATCCTCACAGCCCACTCCTAGGCCTCGATAACCGGCCATTGGTCCTCCATTTTTCTGAGGGGATTCCTCTCCCAGTTTCCTCCCCACTCTCCTCCCCAGTGAACTTGCTGCATCCTTCACCCTCAACTTGTCACTCTGGGGATGTGGCTCAGCAGTGGAGCACCTGTCTAGAACCCTTCAGTAACACAGGACCTCACAGCCCTGCACTCCTTCCCCTGCATCACTGAGCAGGAACACATCTGGGAATGGTCCAGCCCCATGTCTTCTGGTCCCACCGGACAGCAACGGCCCAGTGTTCATTCACAGATGCAGGGTCAGCGCCCAGCAGACATTCCACAAATGCTAGCTCAGAACACAGTTGAGGAAGGTAGGCAGTAACATCAGGATATGTCCATATTGTCCTACAAGGGAAGATCTGCCAGGTCACTGTACCATGCCTCCCTCCCCCGCCTCCACACACATGGGCTCTTGGACCCTGCACTGACAGCATCCTGGTCAGTTTCCTGAGTCCCACAACCAGATCCCTAAGCTCACATCCAACTATATCCTTGTTTCATATGGGGAGAACTGAGATTTGGCTAGTTGCTCAGCATACAGCAACCTACAAGGCTAGAGCCTAGGCTTCCGATGCACCCCTAGACTGTGTACTTTTTAACGTTTAAGAAGGCCAAGACCACGGTCCTAGAAGGGAAAAAAGGAAGAGGCACAGGCTCTGGTGGCTGTGGAAAGGCTCTGCTCTCAGCTCACTTGTTTTCATTTTAAAAAATGGAGACTTTGATGCTTAAGTTAAGTAATTTTTTCTTTTTTTATAATTTTACCTGCTGAGTCATCTTTGCTAAGTAATTTTCATGAGAGACTAAACAAGACAGTGTAAAACACCTACCTAGTCAGGTTTGGTGACACATGCTGTGACACTAGCACCTAAGAGGCTGAGACAGGAGAATTCTGAATTTGAGGCCAGCCTGGATTACATGGGATTATCTCAAAAAAATAAAAGGTAGTGACCTGGGGAGATGGCTCAAGACCTTGCTGTGTTAAGCACAAGGACCTAAATCCAGATCCCCAGCACCCACATAAAAGGGGAACATGTTTGTAATCCCACTCCTGGAGGGATGGAGATAGGCAGATCCTGGGGGCTTGCTGACCAGTCAATGTAGCTGACATGAAATGGAGGTGGGCTCTAGGTTCAGTGAGAGACCCCATCTCAAATATGAAGGTAGAGGGGGCTGGAGAGATGGCTCAGTGATAGTGATTAAGAGCACAGGCTGCTCTTGCAGAGGACCTGTGTTCAGTTCCCAGCACCCACATGGAAGCTAACAATCAAATCTGTAACTCCAGTTCCAGGGGATCCAATAGGAAGGATGAAACCCAGGGTGCCTGGGGCAAGGTTGGCTTAGTTCAGAATCTACAATCAGAAGTGTCTGTAACTTCGCTGAGCCACAAACTTGAGGATTCATTTCAGAGCCTATGACTTTCAAGGTGTCACTCATGGTTTAGCTGGCCACAGCCTGTTGCAGCATCAGCCTTCAGGTGTGTTCCAGCATGTCTGCCCATGCCCAGATGAACCAACTTTCAGAACTCTGCCCTATAGCCAGGGCAACAGTAGGGATGCTCAGGCTACCATAGATCTGAGGCCACCACTGCCTCCACAGCCAGCCAGGCCCCACCCCATATCAAGCTCTCCATCTTTGGGACTTGGTGCCCAGCCACAGCTGATTCTACCAAGTTCCAGAATATTCCAAGCCTTTCCCATTCCCCAGTCACTGATCTTGCTGGTACCTCACTAAGTATACATGCTGATCTTTCTAGACTCCACTGTGTCCTTGTCCTGAGCCCTCTGACCCACACCCTCATAGGAAGGTAACTCCACCCTGCTGTCCCTTTCTGCACAAAGGCCACAATCATCCCAGCAGGCCTGCATGTTTTGGATTCAGCATCCCTGAGGGGACAGCTTCCATTGACTCCAATATGGGGCTGTAGCACTTCAAATGCCCCATGCCACAGAGTCTGAAACCCTAGGGCAATCGAGGGGAGGCAAAGCTGGTGAGATGGCTCAGTAGGTAAAGGAACCTGCCACCAAGCTTGACAACCTGAGTTTGATCCCTGGGATCTACATGGTAGGAAGAGAGAAATGATAGCTTGCAAAGTTGTCTTCTAACATCCACATGTTTTGGTGCATGTGCACGCACACACTCACACACACAATAGTGTAATAAAAAAACACCTGCTCCAGAGGCCTGTACCTTCTGAGTTGGTGCCTACACACATCCACTGACTCGTTACTGGAACCTGCAATTACACACAATGAAACCCTGTGTCGATGCACCCATTCCCTACAACAGCCCCAGCCTGTGCAAAGCTATACTTCAAAAACTCAATTTGTTTCAGCACCTAATGGTGAGGCTATTTAGGGTGTTCTTAATTATGAAAATTATACTAATTGGCTGTGGGAAAAAGTCTCAATCTGGAGGCAGTGCAAACATCCTACAATATGGGAATTTTTTTTTTTCAGTACTGGCAATGAAACTCAAGACTCCACTGAACCCACGAGCCCTAACTAATAAGGGAATTTGTTTGGTTTTTGTTTTCTGAGACAGGCTCCATAGCCCAGGCCTCAACTGGCCTTACAATTGGCCTCAAACTCCTGGCAATCCTCTTGTCTCAGCCTTCAAGTGCTGGGATAAGAGGCATGAGCGGCTATCTCAGCTCTTTTATTCTACGTGTGCATGTGTGCAAGTGCCTGCAAAGGCCACAGGCATCAAGTTCCCTCAGAGCTGTAGTTACAGGTGGTTGGATGTAGGTGCTGGAAACTGAAATTGTGTCCTCTGGAAGAGCATCAAGTGTTCCTAACCTGAGCCATCTCTGCAGCCTTCCCATTCCTGGCTTTTCATGTGTGTGCTGAGTAGTATGTGTGTGTTAAGTTACTTGAACACTGGTCCCCATGCTTGCAGAGCCAGTGCTCTTAGCTACTGGGCCATTTCTTCAGCCTCAGATTTCATTTTTTGTTTTTTTTTAAGAGAGGGTCTCCCTGTAACCCTGGCTGGCTTGGAACTTACTATGTAGACCAGACTGGCCTCAAACTCAAAGACTCCTCTGTCTCTGCCTCCTGAGTGCTGGGATTAAAGGCGTGCACGACACCTGGTTCACAGATTTTTTTTTTCTGATAATAATAATACTTTCTCACTTTAGAAAATGAAAGTATGGGGCTGCAGAGGTGGCTGAGGGGTTAAGAGCACTGGCTATTCTTCCAGAGGACCTGGGCTTGATTCCTAGCACCCACATGGTGGCTCTTTTGCCCCCTTCCAGTCTTCATGGGCACTATACACAAACCAGTAAATGCACAGCAATCAAAACACTTGTACAAATAAAAATTTAAAAAAGAGGGGAGGAAAAAAAGAAAATCTGAAAAAACTGGGAGCTGGGGAGCTAGGGATGGATAAAGAAGAATGTGAGCTTAGCAGACTAGAGAGATGGTTCAGTGGTTAAGGGCACTGACTGCTCTTCCAGAGGACCCAGGTTCGATTCCCAGCATCCACAAGGTTCCCAGTTCCAGAGGAATCCAACACCCTCTTCTGATCTCCATGGGCATTGTACAACATGGGTGCACTTACACACAAGCAGGTAATACACATACACATAAAATAAAAATAAATTATTTATGTGTATGAATGTTCTGCCTGCATATGTGTAAGTGCACCTGTGTCATACAATGCCCGTGGAGTTCAGAAGAGGGCATCAGACCCGTAACTAGAGTTACAGATGGTTGTTAGCCGCCTTGTGGGTGCTGGGAATCGAACCCAGATCCTCTGCAAGACCAGCCAGTGCTCTTAACCACTGAGATATCTCTCCAGCCCTATAAATGAAAGAAATTAAAAAAAAAAATCTGTGCCCTGCATCCATAAGCATCTAGAGTCCATTCTCACAACCAGTTTTTATTTTGTGGTTTTGTTTCATGCTAGGGATGAAACCTAAGGCCATGTGCATGCTAGGCAAGGCTATAGCACAATTTTACAGCCCCCATTTGAAAAGAATTTTTATTACATTTTAATTTAATGTATGTGTGCACCTGCCACAGCCTACGTGTGGAGGTCAGAGGACAACTTGCAAGAGTTGGTTCTTTCTACCATGTGGGTCCCAGGGATTGAACTCGTGTGGTCAGGCTTGGCAGCAAGCGCTTTGGCATCTCACTATTTTTTTTTTTTTTTTCAAATTAAAGTTGAATTTCTAGTAAAGTAGAGAGCCTCTTTGCTATGCTAGCTTTGTACCTGACCTGAGGAAAGGCTTCTTGACAGGAGGGTCTTAGTCTGCCTCCAAAGCTGTTCAGTGTCAGCTGCCCACCGTCATTACCAAAGCTGCTACTGCTCCAGTGGAGTTTCAGTCATGGACGGCCTAGTAAACATCACCAAAACTCCTTGCCAGGACATACATCCCTATCCTCGAGTTCCAGAATGTCCTAAGACAAACCACCCAGGTACTGCTGGAGGATGACAGTAGTGTTGTGAGCCCACAGACAGACAATGTTCAATGTTCTGATTTATTATTTCACAGTGTTGGGGGTCAGACCCAGTGACTTGACTAGTCTGAAACTTACTATGTAGCAGGAAGGTGACTTTCCTGCCTTCACCCACCAAGGACTAGGATGACAGGACACTCAAGAGCTGGGGCTGTAACTTTAAATTAATATTTTATTTTTATTTTATGTATGTTTTGCCTGAATGTATGTGCAATACCAGCAAAGGCCAGAAGAGGGGGTTGTATCCTCTGAAATTGGAGTTCCAGATGGCTGCTAGCCACCATCTGGGTGCTGGGAACTGAACCTAGGTCCTCTGCAGGAGCAGCCAGTGCTCTTAACCACTGAGCCTTCTCTCTAGTTCATGTAATAAACACACACATACTTTCAAAAAGACCAACACAACAAAAAAATCTCTGAACCTGGCGTGGAGGCATGTGGGTCTTTAATCCCAGATTGTTTTAATCCCAGCAATGAGTCTGAGGCAGGTGGGTCTCTATGAGAACGAGGCCAGTCTAGTCTACATATAGTTCCAAACCAGTTGGGGAGACATTGTCTCAAAAACCCCAAATGAATAAATAAACAAACAAATAATAAAGTAGAGGGGCTGGAGAGAAAGCTCAGCAGTTAAGAGCATTGGCTGCTCTTGCAGAGGACCCAGGTTCAGTTCCCAGCACACATATGGCAGCTAACACCCATGCTTAACTCCAGTTCCAGCAGATCCTACACCCTCTTCTGGCCTCTGCGGGCACTGTATGACACTAGTGCACTTACATACATTCAGGCAAAATACTTATATACTTAAAATAAAAATAAGTTTTTATTCAAAAAAAAAATAAGGTAGAGAGTGATTGAGGAAGATATCCAATGTCAATCCCTGGCCACCATACATGTGAACACATACCCATGTATATGCATGCATGCATACATACACATGAGCACATGCACGCATACACACAGTCTGAAACCATCCTTTCCTTCCAAGCTCCTTCTCCCTGTGGATTATCAGGTCCCGCTCTGCCTCAGGCAGCCATGAGAAAAACCAGAGATTCTTGCTCCTCCTCAACCTCTGCCCACAGCTGCCTCGGCCCACACACCTCCCCCACCCCACTGACTACATCTGCTTGGGGCCTTACTGCCTCCCACATTAATAATAAGCACATCCTCCCAGCTGGCCTCACCAACTTGTTTCTCCTAGTCCACCACAAAAACAGGTGCAAGACTATCGCCCTCAAGCATATGTTCTGATCTTCCTCTTCCTCTCCTCCCCGGGATCTGCAAAATGAAGTTTGGACTCCTTAGGCCAACAGTCAGAGCCATCACAGTATGGTCTCTACCTTCCTGTCACTGAGATTTGCCAGCATGCCTCCCTTCAAGACCTTCTCTTGGGCCGGAGAAATGGCTCAGTGATTAAGAGTACTTGTGCCAGGCGTGCCTTTAATCCCAGCCCTTGGGAGGCAGATCCCTGTAAGATGGAGGCCAGTCTGGTCTACATGGTGAGTTCCAGGCCAGCTGGGACTACAGGGAGACCCTGTCTCAAAAGAAACATTCCCCCACCCCCGCAAAAAAAAAAGAATACTTGTTACTCTTTCAGGGAATGACCCAGGTTCAATTCCAAACACCCACAAAAGCCTGTAATTTCAGTTCCAAGGGACTTAATGCCTCTTCTGGCCTCCACTGGTACTATATACACATGGTACATATATGTGCACATAAAATAAAAATAAATCTTTTTTCTTTGTCTTTTTGAGACAAGGTCTCTCTGTAGCCCCAGCTGTCCTGGAACTCACTAGGTAGACCAGACTGGCCTTGAACTCACAACTGGAAAAATAAATAAATCTTAAAAAAAAAAAAATTGCATGTAGTGATATACAACTTTAATCCCAGCACTTGAAAGGCAGAAGCAAGCAGATCTCTGTGAGCTCCAGGCCAGCCTGGTCTACATAACAAGTTTCAGGCTAGCCAAGGCTACCTAATGAGATCCTATTTCAATAAAGAAAAAAATTACGTGAAGATTCGTATTCCCCAACTCCATGCCTCTGTCTCAGTCCAAAGATAACCTTCACCTTCTCTGTAATTTCGTTTTGTAGAGATGTGTACACAGGTGTTTGTGTGTGGACATGTGTGCAGAGGTCAGAGGTTGACATCAGCCATCTTCCTCAATCATTTTCCACATTATTTTTTACTTTAAACTCTGATTTTATAGTGTATTTGTACACATGTGTATGGGTTCCCATAGAGGTCAGAAGAGGACATCAGAGCCTAAGCCACTTGATATGGACGCTCAGCCATCTCTCCACCCCCTCCACATTATTTTTTGTGACACAATCTCTCAGGAACCAGAAGCTCACCTATTTGGCAAATGAGCTGGCTGGCAAGCCCCTAGGAGCCTCTTGTCTCCACCTCCCCAGCACTGGGATTACAGGCAGGTGCCACTACACACAATTTTTTACGTGGGTGCTGGGGATCCAAATTCACAGGCTCACGCTTATGACAGCTACTCTACCACTGAGCAACATCCCAGCCCCAAGGCCCAATTTAAACACCACCTCTAGGATTGAAGACATGGCTCAGGGATGATTAGGAACATGTACTACTCTTCAGAAGACCCATGTTGTTCCCTGCACTCATCTTGGGTGATCCACAAGAGGGCAGCTCACAACCTCCTGCAACTTTTAACTGCAGGGAAATCTGAGGCTTCTGGCCTCAGAAGGCACCTCCACTCACATGCACATATCCAAAGATACACACACATATGTGTAATTAAAAATAATAAAAATAAATCTTCAAACAGCACCTCTATGCTTTGATGTTCCCAACAGAAAGAAAACACTAACTTCCACAGCATCCTGTCCGTCCTTCCTGAGTTTCTGCTAAGATCCTTCTGCTCTCAAGAGCCTTGGTGTGCATTTTGTGGTATAGAGCAACTTCTAAGCTAAAGAAATTTGGTTTTTATATATGAGACAAGTTTCATGTAGCCCAGTCTGGCCTTGGTCTCACTATGTAGCTGAGGATGACCTTAAACTTCCTAATCCTCCTCCCTCCACCTCCAAAGCACTGGGAGGGCAGGCATATGCTAACATGCCATTTCATGCAGCGTTGGGGGTGGAACCCAGGCTTTGTACGTGGTAGGCAAGCACTCTACCAACTAAGCTTCATCCCCAGTCGCTAAAGCAATTTATTTGGCACATCATTGTAATGACTGGAATGTCCAAGACCATGGCACCAGACCTTTGGAGTGGAAAACAGGAAGGAAAATAAGAGGGGCAGAAGTGGCCAAGCCTGTGAGATAGCTTTGCTTTCTATTGACCCACTCTCTGGGAACAAATTCATTCTAGCAGAACCAATCCACTGACCAAGGTTAGCATTAATCAGCTCATAAGTGAAGTCCCAGTGGCCTAAGGAAGCTAATGACCTCTCGCTAAGCATCACCTCTTCGGGGCTCCACATCACCACTACCACCACACTAGAGATGGAACTTCCAGTATATACATTTTTGGTGGATGATAATCCACTAGTAACTGGCATGGCCTCCCAGAAGCCTGTACACACTGCCCCCTTCCCACCTGCCCAGCCTCCTTTACTCTACAGACACCCCTCACTGATCTAGTCGTTAATAGCTACTTGCAGTGGCCCAGCCCTGCCCTGGCATTTATGACTATGCAAATGTGGGCAACCCTGCCAGACTTCCTCCCCACTTTCTCCATCCTAGGCTTCCGTTACAGCTTACCTTGGCTATAGCCTTCCTGACCCTGCTGCCTACCCCCCTCTAGGAGGAGGACTCTGCCTTGTGACTCCCCTCAGCTCTGCACCCACCATACTGAAAACATCTGGTCAGACTGTAGTGTCTGTTTTGCCACCCAAGAAGTTGCCAGAAGATAGAGATCTTGTCTGGCACTCAGCAGAGGTTTGTTCAAAGAAATGAACATTTCCAATTCAAGTGCAGAAATTGTGACTTGTTCCTCTATTCTATAAAACAAGGGGAGGCGGGGTTGTTTGGGATTTTTTGAGACAGCATCTCCCTATGAAGCCCAGGCTGTTAGAACTTAGTACATAGCCCAGGATAGCCTTGAACTTGTGATCCTCCTGCCTCATTTTACCAAGTGCTGGGATTACAATTTGTACCACCAAGCAAGTCTAGGGCTGGTCTTCAACTGCCTATATAACCCAGGCTGACTTCAAACTTGCAATCCTCCAGCCTTACTTAGTCTTCTAAGTGCTGGGATGATAGGCATGCATCCCAAACTAGGGGAAAAGTATTATTATTTTTTAAACGACTGATTTGTTTTTAATTTGTGTGTTTTGATTGCTGGTATGTTTACTGGTATGTGCATAGTGCCTACAGAGGCCAGAAGAAGATGAAGGAGCTACCAAGCAGGTGCTGAGAATCGAACTTGGGTCCCCTGAAAGAACAGCAAGTGCTCTTAACCCCTGAGCCACCTCAGCCCCCCTTTTTTAAAATTTACTTTTAATCAATTAAATTTTTTCTTTGTTTTGTTTTCTGAGACAGGGTCTCTCTATGTAGCTCTGGCTGGCCTGGAACTCTATGAATACCAGGCTGCCCTCGAATTTACAGACATTTGCCTGCCTCTGCCTCCCTATTGCTGGGATTTAAAGGCATTTGCAACTACGCCCAGCTTACTTTAATTTTATTATTATTGTACGAGTGTGGGCACCTGTATGCCAATGCTCCTGGGTAGAGTCAGATCTTTCAAGAGTTGGTTCCTTCCTTCTCCCATGAGAACTGAGAGTCAAGGTTCTCAGGTTTGCATAGTAATAAAGCGTTTTATATATATATATATATTTTTTAAATGGGGGGGTCTGGGAGTGGGGGGGGTCTGGGAGTGGTGACACAAACCTATAATCCCCCAGTACTTGGGAGGAGAAGCCTGGAAATTCAAGGTCAGCCTGATCTATATAGGGAGTTCCAGTCAAGGCTATATAGTGACATCCTGTCTCAAAAACAAAAGTGGGGGAGGTGGCATGATGGTATATCCATATTGGGTACAGGCACTCACTACCAAGCCTGATGACCTGAATTTGATCCTCAGAACCCACATGATGGAAGAACCTTGACTGCTCAAAGCTGTCCTCTGACATCCACACATGTGTACCTGTACACATACACACACAATAAATGGAAAAATAATGTTTTTGAAAAAGTGGGGGTCAGGCTGAAGAGATAGCTCAACAGTTAAGAGCACCCACTGCTCTTACAAAGGACCTAGGTTCAGTTCCCATTACCCACCCACAGAGTGTCTCATGACTACTGTAACTCCAGTTCCAGATCTGATGCCCCTCTCTCCTGGCCTCTGTAGTTACCAGGGAGACACATGGTACACAAGCATGGATGTAGGTGAGACATTCTTTAAACATAAAACAAAAATAAATAAATCTTAAAAGAAAATTTCTTTTGAAGTGCCATTGACTGTACTCAGGGTCTTGTGTGCTAGCTAAGTACTCTACCAGAGCTACTCTGAGCCCATAAAGCACGTCTTGAAGTAGGAAGCTCCCTCTAAGACAGGTTAGAAGGGGAGTGGCGATTGGTAAAGAGCCATTTGAATTTATCTGCAGCAGCTGGCAACCAACGCTCAACTCCCAGGCCTCATTTTCTTCCTGGAGCCCTGGAAGCCCACCCTCCATACTGCCTGCCTTCTCTTCACCTGTACACCAGCATGTCTTAGTGTGTGTGCACAACCATGAATGAGCATGTGTGCCGCAGTACATGTGTACTCATGGAGGTTAGAGAACAATCTGGTTTGTAGTTCCTCAGGAGCCATCCACTTGGTTTTTGGTTAGCTCTTTTGTTGTTATTTGTTTTTTTGTTTGTTTGTGGGGGTTTTATTTGGTTGCTGTTTTGAGACAGGGTCTCCCTGGAGCCCCAACTACCCTGGAACTTGCTATGTAGACCAAGTGGTCTTGACCTCACAGAGATTCACCTGACTCTGTCTCCCTAGTGCTAAAGGCATGTACTGCCACACCCAGCATTTTTTTTTTTTTTTAATTAGGAGTCTCCATTGGCCTGGCACTTGCCAAGCAGGCTAAGCTGGCTGACTGCCAAGCAAGCCCCAAGTATTCATTCGCCAGTCTCCTCCCTATCACTAGAATTACAAATATACACCACCATGCCAAGCTTTTAACATTGGTTCTAGGGATCAAACTCAGACCCTTTAGCTTGCAAAACCAGCACTTTACCTACTGAGCCATCTACCCCGTCCCCATGCTTCACCCCAACCTTCTCTTTCATTTTGGGTTTTGTTGTTGCTGTTGTTGGGGGTTGGGGGGGGTGAGACATAGTCTCTCTGTAGCCCCAGCTGGCCTAGAATTTGCTATGTAGACCTGGCTAGCCTGGAACTCACAGAAATCTGCCTGCCTCTGCCTTCCGAGTGCTGAGGTTAAAGGTGTGCACCACCACATGGGCTCCCATCTTCTCTTTCAGAAAACCAGATTTCAAAGGCAGTAAGATAAGTTCCCCCACAGCTCTTACCTCCTCTCTCTGCAGGGCTGGCGCCAACTGTCCCTTCTTGATATGGAGACTCAGATCCTTAGGAATAACTTGTCTCACTTCCCATCTTGATAGGCATGGCAAATAACAAAAACCAGGCAAAGCTGAAGGCTTGCTGACTCAGCGACACAAATTCCAAGGCACCTTTGCCAAAAAGACGATGATTAAGTCGTCAATGGAGAAATGGCAGCAAGCGAAAAAGAGCAAGTGCACAGATGTTGGATCCCGTGTGCTGTGGCTGGGAACTGGAAATTACCACATTTATTTTCCAACAGCCTGGGCAGAAAGCAGAAGGCGTGACAGTCTTCCTCAGCCCACTCAACTGAGCCCTTTCCCAAAAAGGCTGGTAAGAGGACATCAGAAGTCAGTATACTGGACAGTCCACCCAGGAAATCAGTGTACCAGAGAGGATAAAAATCTGGCCAAGGTCACATAGTAATGGACAAAGGGACCTAGATACCTGGGTAAGCTTCAGTCTGCCCTGATTTTATGACTACAAGGAAGTCTACTTTCTAGAGCTATTATTTTTTTGGGGGAGGGGGTAGGTTGTGGCTGTTTTGTGTTGTTCATTTGGTTTCTGTTGGTTTTGTGTTTGTTTTTGTTGTTTGCGTTTTGAGACAAGGTTTCACTAGGTAGTCCTGGATGGCCTGGAACTCACTATGTAGAACAGGCTAACCTCAAACTCACGAGGCCTGTCTCTGCCTCCTGAGTGCTGGACTAAAGACCTCCACCAACATACCCAGCCACCTTTTCAGCCACCACATCCCGATCACCTTTTTCGTTTTTTTGAGAAGGGTCCACAGTATATACATCAAGCTGACCTGGAATTCCTTGATTCTCATGCTTTTGTACCCTAGTGTTGAGATTACAGGCCTAAGTCACCACAGCTGGCTTGCTAGAATTTGTGGGGTGGGGTAGAAGGGGGTGGTTAAGGCAGAGTCTTTCTAGATGCAGCACAGGGCACAGGCAGAGTTTGAGCGCTCCATCCTCCCGCCTCAGTCTCCTAAATGCTGGGATTACAAGCGTGCACCACCATGCTCAGCACTCCAGAACTTCGAAGCGGCTAGCAAGACATACAGCAATATTTGGCGTCCCTTAAAAGTCCTGCTTCTGTGCACATTCCTATTCATGCCTTTGAGGAAGTGAAGCTAAAGTGGACACCCCGCAGCTGGCTCTGCGCGATGGGATGAATGCCTAGCCTCCGAAGGAGGAAGTCTTCTAACTCCATCTCATCCCACATCAGGCACTCCCCAAACTGACCCAGGCACCCAGTTTGAAAGAAGACCCATGGAGTGGGGAGGCAAACTCCTCCAAAGTCCAACCCCAAGCCAGGTGGTGGAGTACTTCGCCTGGATGTAGACCCCCAGCAGAACTGCAACTACCCGCTCAGGGAGCGCAGGGGTGGGGTGGGGTGGAGGCAATAGCCTCCTTGCCCTTCCAAGGTCCGATGGGGCTCAAACTCCCAGGGGTGCGACCCTGTCTCTGCAAGAATAGAGTTCCCACCGCACCCAACCCTGTCCCCAAAGCCCGGAACGTCCCAACTGCGACTTCCAGTCTCCAAGATCCGGGTGGCCCGGAGTCTAGTGTTCCCGATGCTCCCGGGACTCACCCCATACCGCCCTCCCTCGCTCCCTTGCACGACCGCCCCCTTCCGGTCCCAGCTAGGCTCAATGTCCACCCCTCCAACTCACCCACCCACCTACCTACCTTCCGGACCCCAGCCCCGCTGGTCAGCAGGCCCGCCCGTCTCTCTTACCGAGTCCGAGGAGAGCCGAGGGAAAAGGCCCAGATGAATGCCGAACTCGGGCTCCAGCTCCCACTTGGCCTGGGTAGAAACCCGGACAGTGACTCCGACTCAGCCGAGGCTGCCGGAGTGAAACTCGGCGTCGCAGCCTCCCAGCGCCGCGCTGCGCATGCCCGGCTCCCGCGGCCTTCTGGGAAATGTAGTTCTGGTTGTAGTCCTAGGGGGCGGGATGGGGCTGAGCCAAAGGGCACCTGCAAATGTTAATGGATCTAGTCCCCCTTCACTTATCTGCCCATTGATACCTCTTCATTAAATAGTGATTCATTTTACTGTATTGGTGGTGGTGGTGGTAGTGCGAGTGTGTTTGTGTGTGTTTGAGACAGGGGTCTCCCACATGGCAGCTAACAACCATCTGTAACTACTCCAGTTCTAGGGGATCCATCGTCTTCTGGCCTCCACGGCCATTGAATGGCAAGGGTGCCCTTACATGCATGCAGTCAAAACACTCATACATATAAAATAAAAATAAATACAATTTTTAAAAACTTTTTAAAAAGATTACTCTTATTGTGAGTAATGCATGCAGGTGCTTGCAGAAGCCAGAAGAGGGTGTCAGATCTTTTGCAGCTGGAGTTACAGGCAGTTGTGAGTTGTCCTATGTGGGTGCTGGGAACTGAACTCAGGTTCTCTGAAGGAGCAGAAAGTATTCTTTTTTAAAATATTTTTATTATTTTTATTTTATGTGTATGAGTGTATTGCCTGCATGTAAGTGAGTGCACCCGTGTCGTGCAATGCCACGGAGGTCAGAAGAAGGCTTCAGATTCCCCTGAAACTGGCGTTCAGGTTGGTTTGTAGCTGCCATGTGAGTGCTGGGAATTGAACCCAGGTCCTCAGCAAGAGCAGTCAGTGCTCTTAACTGCTGAGCCATCTCTCCAGTCCCTGCAGGAAGTATTCTTAATGACTGAACCATCTCTCCAACCCTCCGAAGAGGTTTTTAAATGTGTTATTTACTTCTCTAATTATGAAAATTGCTAGCTGGGCATGAAGACACATGCCTTTAATCCAAGCACTCGGGAGGCAGAGGTAGGTGGATCTCTGTGAGTTCAAGGTCAGCCTGCTCCACATAGTAAGTTCCAGGCCAGCTGGGGCTACAGGGAGACCCTGTCTCAAGAAAGACCAAAAAACTAAATAAATAAAATTGGTATAAAAGTTTATAAAAAAGAAATTAAATCAATTTAATGATTTTTTTAGTCCAGCTTATAGGAGTGTGGCTCGGTGATAAAGCACTTATTAACAAGAAGCCAGGAGTCCTTGGGTTTGCAAAAGAAGTCCTTAAAACGATACTTCATGTGACTAATCATGTGCTGTCTCCTAAAACCAGTCCCTAGCTCACCTAGGAGCAAGATGAACACAGCTGGGACATGGGACCAGGCCTGGCCTCAGCCTTGTTGCTAAGAGGCTGGAGTGTTTTCTACTGTTTTGCTTGGAAAGGCAGAATTGTGTTGCTGCCTGCGTCTACTAATTGGTCTCCATCGGACACTCTGGAGGGATGCTCTGATAAGACACAGCTGCTTTGCTCATTATTTCTGATGAATGGACAGCACCTGGCATCCCCTGGTGATGACATTAACTGCTCAGGACCCACATGTAACCTATACAGCCCTATGGAAATAAGTTCTCAAGTAACCTCTAGTCTTGCTTCACAGATGGCCTTGAACTCTTGATCCTCCTGCTTCTACCTCCCAAGTGTTGAAAATACCGGTATGCACCACCACTCCCGGTTTTATGTGGTACTGGAGATCAAACAAGGGCTTTATGCATGATAGGCAAGCACTTTACCAACTAGGTAAAGCCCCATTCCTTGGAGCATTGATTAAACAGGTTTCTCCTGTCTGCTAATTCCCATCTTATGTCTGGAATACCTGAGTGGGGTTTTTATTATTGGTGGGTTTTTGTTTTGTTTTGTTAATATTTTATTTTTGTATGTCAGTGTTTTACCTGCATGTATGTAAGTGTACCTGTGTGTGCAGTGATCACAGAGGCCAGAAGAAAGTGTCAGATCCCCTGGAACTGGAGTTATACATGGTTTGTAACTGCCAGGTGGGTACTGGGAAACGAACTCAAAAGCAGAAAGTGTTCTTAACTGTTGAACCAAAAAGACAGGGTCTCTTTGTCACCCCAGCTGCTAACCTGGAACTTGCTATGTAGACCAGGCTGGCACTGATCTCACAGAGATCCACCTACCTCTGCCTCCTGAGTGCTGGGACTGGATTAAAGGTGTGTTCCACCAAGGCCAGTTGAGTATTCATTTTTTGCAAAATATTTATTGTATTATTTATTTATGTGTGTGTGTGTGTGTGTATGTATGTGCATGTGGGCGCCTGCAAAGTTCAGAAGAGGGTGTCAGATCCCCTGGAGCTAGAGTTGCATGTGGTTGTGAGCCACCTGGTATGGGTGCTGGGAACTGAACTGGGGTCCTCTGCAAAGACAGGAAACACTCCTAACTGCTGAACCATCTTTGCTATATCAAAAGTGTTTTTAAATTACATTTTTATTTATTTGGTGTGAGGGAGGTGGGGTCCATGCCACTGTGGACATGTGGCAGTTAAAGGATAGTTTTCAGGAGTCCTCTTCTTCCATCATGTAGCTCCTAAGGATCTAACCCTAGTCAGGCTTGGTGGCAAGCACCTTCTGAGCCATTTCACTGGCCTGGTATTCATATTTATTTCAACTCAATTTAACTGTAGCCAATCTTGTTTTTGAAAGACAACTGCTCCCAATATGGCCCAGACTGACCTAGAACCCGCTGTGTAACCCAGGCTGGCTTTAAACTTGTGATCCTGCTTCCACAACCTCTCAAGTGCTGGAATGACAGACATGCAGAACCAGGCACAGTTTACTACCCGATTCCTTCTGCAGCTCCAGGTGCTACATGAACTTCATGTCTGGGTGGATGTGGTGGCACATGCATGTCATCCCACCACTTGAGAGGGGGAGGCAGGAAGATCAGAAGTTCAAGGTCATCCTCAGCTACCTAGTGATTCTCAGGCCAGCCTAGGATCTAAAAAAAGTGTGTGTGTGTGTGTGTGTGTGTGTGTGTTTGTGTGTGTGTGTGTTTTAACATTAGAGGCTCATAGTTTACATTTATTTTTATTTACTTATTTAATGTGTGTGTTTTGCCTGCATGTGTGTAAGTGTACCATGTGTATGTGTGTGTGTAAGTGCTGAGGAGGCCAGAGAAGGGTATTGGACCCCCCTGGAACTGGAGTTACAGATGGTTATTAGCCACCATATGGGTGCTGGGAACCCAATCTGAGCCCTCTGCAGAAGCAGCCAGTGCTTTTAACTGCTGAGCTATCTCTCCAGCCCCAGAGCCTCATACTTAAGATTGCTGTACATACACAGATAATTAAAATAGTTTTTCTCCTAAATCTGTCCTGTCAATTGAAGTTACATCCTAGTTAAAGATTCTCAAAAGGTGGAGGGATACTCCTTCCTTATCCTGGTCTTCCTTTTTCTTTTTTTTTCTTTTTTTTTTGACACAGCGTCTCACTGTTGCCCCAGTTGGCCTGGAACTTGTTATTTGGACCAGGTTGGCCTCAAACTCAGAGATCCACCACCTGTCTCAGCCTTCTGAGTGCTGGGATTAAAAGCCTTTGAACTAGCTTGAAGTTTCCTCCAAGCTACACCTGCAGCCCAGTTCTCTAACATCTTAACAAATTAAAACCTTTGACATTTGCAGCAAGTATCTGTATGATCATTTTCTTTGTCCTTTAATGAATTTCATTTGTATCTCACTTCCTTTTTCCTTTTGCCCACACACTGCTAGGAAGCCCAAGGGCAAAGTTTTTTGTTTGGGTTTGTTTTTGTTTTTATTTTTTTTATTTTATGTGTATGAGTGTATGGCCTGCATATATGTGAGTGCACCTGTGTCATGCAATGCAGTGGAGGTCAGAAGAGGGCTTCGGATTCCCCTGGAGCTGGAGTTAAGGATGGTTTATAGTTGCCATGTGGATGCTGGGAATCAAACCCGGGTCCTCTGCAAGAGCAGTCAGTGCTCTTAACCACTGAGCCATCTCTCCAGACCCCAGGGTTTTTTGTTTTTGTTTTTGAGACAGGATCTCCCTGTACTCTCAGCTGGTCTGGAACTTGCTATGTAGACCAGGCTGGTTTGAAAACTCACAGATCTGCCTTCCTCTGCCTCTCTCAAGTGCTGGGATTAAAGACCCACCACACCCAGCTAAGGGCTAAATTTTAAACCTTCACTTGAAGTGTTAATTAACTGAGTTTCTTGAATGTATTGGAAGCTTTTGCGGCAAGATCCATTGTAGGAAGCTGCCACAAACATTAGAGAAAGCTCTTGGCCAATATCCTTCCTAGCCCACTCCAGCACCACTCTGAATGAGGAAGAGCTCAGGCCAGCTTCAAACTGTTTGTATAGCTGAGGATGACCTTAAACTCCGGATCTTCCTTCCTCCACCTCTTGAATGTTGGAATTAGAGGCCTGTACTACTCTGCCTAGTTTTTATGCAGTGCTGGGGATGGAACCCAGAGCTTCCTGTATGTACTATACTCACTGAGCCTCATGCCCAGCCCCTGATTAGTGTGGTAATCGTGGGAGACAGGCACACACAGTTCCATACCACACTGGCAGCTGCCTGAGTTCTTTTCAGAGAACTCCAGGCAGGCAAAACAGAGTTTGAGCTTCAATGAAGAAATGAATTTCAGGGTAAGCCAAATACAATGTAAAGTTGAATTCATTCAAAACAGAAAGGTCAGGGTGGACACAGGGACATGGTGACTCAGCAAGAGCTTGCTGCCAAGTCTGAGGACCTGACTAGGAGGAGAGACCTGACTCCCACAAGTTGTGCTCTGACCTCCATATGTGCACTGTGGCATGCATACCCACACACATACGCACATACTACATGTATTTTTTAAATACTTTTATTATTTTTATGTATATGAGTGCATTGCCTGCATATATGTGAGTGCACCCATGTCATGCAATGCCACAGACAGAAGAGGGCTTCAGATTCCCCTGGAACTGGAGTTAAGGACAGTTCGTAGCTACCATGTGGGGTGCTGGGAATCGAACCCTGGTCCTCTGCAAGAGCAGTCAGTGCTCTTAACCGATGAGCCATCTCTCCAGCCT